GGACTATAAGTATGTCTTGTTATTTAGTTTAATTGGATTTGGTTTCTCTTTTCAAAACCTATCATTTCAAATTTTGAAGGTCAAGTATAGAATATATACACATACAAGTTTATAAACCACGATTTCCCTTAATCTGATGATCTTTTTCAAAAAGTGAAGGTACAGAATTTCTGTACATTGAACATTTTGTGTTAGTAAATATTATTTCTCCGAGTTTTTTAATGGATTCCCACCCGAGCCCTCTGATTTATAGAGTTCTTATCTGAGTTTTGATTCATTTTACAATGAGCTTTTATGATTATTTATTTCTCAAATTGCTATAACTCTTTAGAGAATTCTTATGCATAAGGTTTTGTATTTTTTCTTTTTGTATTCTTACAGTTTCCTTCCCTGGCTATTCTTTATTTGCTTATTGGTGTGTTTTTGTGTTATTTTAACTTAAGCCTCACTTCGTTTTCTTTTCTTTGTAGCTTCCCGGGTGCGTGCTGTGAGCGTGGTGGTTTTGTGTCACGTGTTCATTTGTAAGTTCGGTCGTCTGATGTCTTACAGGTCCATGTTAGCGATCCGCGCTCTCCGATAGAATACAGTGCAAGTCACGATGTAAATTAAAATTTTCTCATAGCCACAGTTTAAAAAAACTAAAAAAGAAGTCGGATTCATTTTGATATATTTTATTTAACCTGGTACAGCCAAATAATATTTCAACATGTTTTCAGTATAAATATTTGTATAATGAGATAATTTCACATTTTGGAGGAGGGCAGGGGACTAAGTCTTCAAAGCCTGTTGCCCATTTTATGCTTACAGCACATTTCAATTTGGACTGGCTGCTTTGGCTTCCATGTTGACAGCACGGATGCAGAGGAGCCTAGCACTCTGGTTCGGGCAAAAAAGCCTAACGATCCCAGAAAAGCTAGACAAGTATACTTGTGTGATGAGAAAAAAAGGAAAACGATGTCACTGCAAAATGAGATTGTATTTTGACTACCGGTACATCTAATGTCTTACGGAATTGCATTATGATAAACCCTAGGGAGGTGTGGGGGTCTGTGGAGGAGAGCTGGAGGGGTGTCGGCTTCCTAAGGTCTTGTGTGTGATGAGCAGCACTGGGCAGGGGCTGGACAAGGGAAGCCAGCACTGACTGACCTCCGGGAGGGTAGATTCTAACTCAACACATTTAATCACCACCCCGACTCAAGGTGATGATGATCATTCCTAATATGCAGATGGAAACTGAGGTCAGGAAGTTAAGTAAATTTCTCCAGGTTACATAGGTGGTAAGAACTAGTAACCTCTCTGACTTCAAAGGCTTTGCTCTGTCTAACCACAGTACTGTGGTTTTTTCGCAAATCAAATTCTAGTCTTAACTTTATTGCTAACTACTTAGATGACCCGGAAGAAAAATTTCACCTGTGGACCTTAGTATCTTCGTTAGTCTAGTTAGATTCGACCTGGGCCCCAGGAGACTTCTGAGAAGGTGGGCTAGGGTTCTAAACGCTGTTGCTAGAAAGAAGGGTTTCTCCAGAGTTTAATGAACTGTTAAAGTGCTAGGTTTATTATATTGGTTCCAGTAGCACCATGAAGGGGTCCTTTTAGGGGATTAGGACCTCAGTTTTCCCTGGGCCACACAACAAAAAACAAGCCCTGATGTTACGGTGTGCTTAAGGGCCTCACACTGTTCTAAGTTTTTACATGTATTTACTCGAGGATCTTCATTTAATCCTCACAGTCACCTCTGAAGTAGGTTCTATTTATATTAATACTCCCTTTTCACGGATGAGGGCAGTAGAACACAGAGAGGCCAAGTGGCTTGTCCCAAGGTCACAAAGTTAATAAGTAGTAGAACCAGGATTCAAATGCAGGTATCTGACTCCAGGCCTGTACTCTTAACTCAGTGCTTCTATTTAGGGACTTATATCCTGTTGGTCAGTTAATCACTGAGTATTTTATCACTTTCTACTTGAATACCTGCTTCCCATAAAAGTTTAAAATACTGCAGCTGCCTAAATCTGTTAGTCTTATTGATAGATGCACCAAGCTTTTTCACATAGAAAAGTCACCAGGAAAAACAGCTCCCGGAAAAAAGCGGGGAAATGCAGATCCCGGACAGGGGGTTATATATTTTGTATTTTTAAAATTTTATGTATTATTTAGAGAAAAGCAAAGGGAGGGAGAAAGAGAGGGAGAGAAACATGGATGTGAAAGAGAAACATCAGTTGGTTGCCTCTCACATGCCCACAGTCAAGGACCTGACCTGCAACCCAGCCATGAGCCCTGATCAGGAATTAAACCAATGACCTTTCAGTTTGTGGGTTGACACCCAGGCCACTGAGCCACACTATCAAGGCATGGGAGGTTGCATGTTTCGTGTTGATGGGAAAGATGCTTCTTGTTTTTTGTTTTTTGTTTTAACTCTATGAGTGCCTGCACTCTCACTAATCTACAACCAAATTTTACTTCTGGCCAAGATGGAGGTGTAGGTGGAAATACTGTACCTCCTTCCACAACCAAATTTAAGGACAACAAAAATGAAGAAATAAAAGCACAACCAAAACAGACAGAAAATTGAACTGTACAGAAGTCCGACAACAACAAACCATTCAGCCAGACCGGTAAGAGGGGCAGAGTCAGCGGCCAGTGGAGAGGGGTCCCTCAAGGGGAAAAGCGGTGGCTGGGGGACCGACCCAGGCGAGCAGGAGACGGTTGACAGATCCCAGGCCTGGGGTGGCAACGGACAGACACTGTGAGGGCGCAAGGTGGCTGGCTGACTGCGGTCACACATTCACACGCAGATAAACCAGGTGAAAAAATGGACAGTGAGACAGACCTTGCGACCCAGGGCCCCAGGGCCGGGAAATAAAGCCTAAAAGCACCCATCGAAAAAACTTTCCGGGCTTGAGGTGCCGGGACAGGCTCCCACCCTCACAGGAGAGTTCATTAGAGAGACCCACGGGGTCCTAGAATGTACACAAGCCCACCCACCTGGGAACCAGGACCAGAAGGGCCCAGTTTGCTTGTGGGAAGTGACAGAGGGGACTGACTGAAATCTAAGAGAGAGCAGAAGAAGCACCATTGTTCCCTTTCTGACCCAGCCCTCATATATAGCGTCACAACCCAGCAACTGGGTTGACCCGCCCTGGTGAACACCTAAGCTTTCCCCTCCTCATATGTAACAGGTGTGACCAGACCAGAAAATTATGGCTCAAGCAGAAGAACAACTTAAAGCTCCAGAGCCAATACAACCAAATTTTATATTTAAATCAATTTGTAATCATTTTGTAGAATGTGTAATTTAGACTTTGAATTGGCGTCTCTGATTCAGTGTGTCCTGACACCTAACCCTGTGTAATCAGATGAAATTAGCAACTGGGTGTCCCTACAGTGACAAGCAAGGGGTCTCCAACAAGTGAAATGTCACAGAGAGGTCACCAGCGTAGCAGTAAGGAGGTCAGTCAGAGCCCTCCACCACCTCACTAGGGCTCTGTGGTTGGGGAACACTAGTTACTGCATCTGCACCTTCTTCAAGGGCGCCAGTATTATGCAGTTACAGCTAGTGGTGCAAGAGCCAGAGCAGCTGCGGCCCATGGACTGCAGGAGCCCAAACAGTTGGCCCTGGCACTCTGAGCCCAAGCATTGGTACTCTGAGACCCGTCGCCAGAGGTCAGGCCACCAGGAGGCCTGGCACAGCAGCTCCTAATACACCCTCTGGGCCAGGCATTCTTGTCTCCTGTGCTCTCAAACACCTGCTCTTGTGTAACTAACAGAGGATGTGAATGTGGCTGCCAGTGGGTGCCATCACTTCTCTCCCCTCCCCAACCTGACCGCTCCCTGCTCCCAAGGGGAAGAGCATCGTCCTCAACCCTCCACCACTTTCCCTCCTTCCTTCTCATCCATCCTTCGATTCACCTTGCTTAACAGACCCATTCCCCAACTCAAGGAAGAGAAAAAGGAAGCTCTTCATTGGGCACATTTGCTGTTTGCACAGTCAAATCCTCTATTACCTTGCTTATAACCACAATTTGGACACACTAGAGGTCAACCTATACCCTTTCTCCATGGCTGCCTATGGTAAAAGCCAGAGAAAACATTACTGACAAGGTAAGTTTATCTCCCAACACCAGCTGTATAAAGAGTTTCGGATACTTTTTTCCTTTCCTGCAGTGGGTGAAGTGCTGCCTTCTGAAGTGCCAGCCCCAAAATATGTTGGCCAAACCTCCCAGACTATTGATCAAAGCTGATGGTGTAGGTGGGTCTGTACCCTGAAATAAATAACTCAGAATGAGGAGAGCTGAGGAGAGTGCTTTGGGGCTCCTGCAAGGACGGCTGAGATAGAAGGAGGGTGTTGTCCTTCTGTCCAAGCAGACCTCTCACTGTGCCAAGTTCCTAAGACTCCGCATCGTTCATATAACTTTTGAAGTTGGTCCCCTCCCAGTTGATTTGGACTCACAAATGTCAGCCCTGAGTCAGCAAGTCTTCAAAAGCACTGGGTAGCTCCAACGCATTAGGTATCACTGGAGGAGGCAAGGGATTCACAAGGCTTTAGGGCGTTCAAAGCAGTTGCACAGCATTGCCCACAGACCTCTGCTGTTCCCACCTGGTGCTGACAGAGCCTCTCATTTGTGCCCTTTCAGCTACAGAAAAGCAGAATGAGCCATTGCTCTAGTTAAGTTGTTTTTAGAGGTTCAGGTCTTTCACAGACAAATAAGGCGAAAAGGGAAGGGGCTTAATAAAAGAAACGAATCTGTGGGAAAGGTTAAATTTGTTTATTATTCACATAAACATTTTCCAACTTGGGAAGAGAGAGGACGTAGCCAGTAGAAATGGCCTTCTAAAACTGAGCTCGGGTGAGACAGCTGTTTAAGACTTACCCCAAACCAATACCAAGAGAAAACATAACAATTTATAAAACATTTTTACCATATTTGAACAAAATACAATTTTATCCATGTTTTTCAAACTCATTTTCCACTTTAAAGGTAGTTAAAGCTCATATTCTTTCCCAGAGTTTACACTGTTATCTGGTTTAAATATTTCCTTGTCCAGACAAGTTCCTACTTGCTTCAACGGGATCTGCAAGCTTACATGAGAGCACACTGATTCTCAATCCACCCCTTGCTCTGTCTGATGAAAAAAACTGTAGGGAGAAAAAAGAGCGAATTAGTTTTTTAAGTCACCATGTATATGAAATTGAAAGCCAATGACCAGGACAGAGAATGCAACAGAGAACTGCAATGAGTTTTGCTCATAGATGTTAACATGTCAATTAAAGCTCTAAGACAAAAAGAGTTCAAGTCTCCGGCAGAGTTCAAAAGAGAAATTACAAATCTGGTTTTGGTAAAAATCCAAGTTATTTTTCTCTGGTGGGAAAGTTGGGATTTCAAATCTAACATGTAGGAAAAAAGGGCTTAATGTATTGTGACAGAAGTTAACCTGTAGTAGTAACATAATCTATTAGACTATAAGAATATGATGAAGTTTATTAATAGTGATGTTTTAATGTTTACAATTAACAAAACACTTTCATCAACACTTTATTTAATACAGAGTGGAAGGACACATTAGCTAGTCATTTTCATTTCAAAGACTAATAGGAAAAATGTACTAATGTCAGGAACACTCTGAAAAGACTGAAATGGGCACCCGAGGGAAGTGGGCAGTTTTCCGTGGCGTGCTCCTCCGCGGTCTGATGTTGGCTAGAGCACCTTCCTAGTTGCCTGAGTGTGCAGTGGTCTGCATCTTTCATCGCACTGGCTGTACATTGTAAAAAAAAACAAACAAACAAAAAAACAAACTGATAGTGACACAGATGATGTTGCTCATAGACATCCAAATGAATTCGGTCTGGGTGAAGATGCAAGTGATTCTGTACTATATGAGAGGCCAGTTTTACATCTATAAGCAAACTCGTTTCAGCCTTTCTGATTGTCTGCCTATGTGTCTAATTCTTCCAATTCTCATTTGAACTCATTTTTAAAAACACCTTATTGATTCTTTTATTAATGAATGAATTAAATTAAATCTTTGACATGTGTTCATTTTACTTTTGTACGAGAGTCATGATTTTACCCCTTTTGGAAACATTTCTTAACACAAATAGTAGACTTACAAGGATACTGTAACTCTAATAACATGGTATGTTTGAAACATTAAAATACCTCACTTTGAAATCCCTCCAACAGAATCATTTTAAGTAGCCATTGTTCTTAATTGAAATAAGATAAATATATAGTGTCCAATCTATATAGAATATTGTTTTTCTAATATTAGCAGAGTAATGAAAGTTATTTTTAAAATTAACTATTCTATTATAACTCATTTATAACAACTGAAATTGTGTTTGATTCTCATGATCTTTACTACATTTTGTGATATAATCATTTATATCTGGCTTAAATATATTTTTATTTTTATTAAATGTTTTATTGATTATGCTATTACAGTTGTCCCATTTCCCCCCCTTCATTCCCCTCCACCCTGCACACCCCCCACCCACATTCCCCCCTTTAGTTCATGTTCATGTGTCTTAAGTTCTTTAGCTTTTACATTTCCCATACTATTCTTGTCCTCCCGCTGTCTATTTTCTACCTACCATCTATGCTATTTATTCTCTGTACCTTTTCCCCCTCTCTCCTCCTCCCACTCCCCTGTTGCTAACCCTCCATGTGATCTCCATTTCTGTGGCTCCCTTCCTGTTCTAGTTGTTTCCTTAGTTTGTTTTTGTTTTAGGTGTAGTTGTTAATAATTGTGAGTTTGCTGTCATTTTACTATGTATGTTTTTTAACTTTTTTTCTTAGATAAGTCCCTTTAACATTTCATATAATAAGGGCTTGCTGATGATGAACTCTTTTAACTTGACCTTGTCTGGGAAGCACTTTATCTGCCCTTCCATTCTAAATGATAGCTTTGCTGGATAGAGTAATCTTGGATATAGGTCTTTGCCTTTCACGACTTTGAATACTTCTTCTCAGCCCCTTCTTGCCCGCAATATTTCTTTTGAGAACTCAGCGGACAATCTTATGGGAACTCCTTTGTAGGTAACTGTCTCCTTTTCTCTTGCTGCTTTTAAGATGCTCTCCTTATCCTTAATCTTGGCTAATGTGATTAATGATGTGCCTTGGTGTGTTCCTCCTTAGGTACAACTTCTTTGGGACTCTGTGAGTTTCCTGGACTTTCCTGGAAGGAAGGCTTAGGAAATTCCCCTTCATTATGTTTTCAAATTCTTGCTCTTCCTCTTCTCCTCTGGCACCCCTATGATTTGGATATTGGAACATTTAAAGAAGTCCTGGAGATTCCTAAGCCTCTCCTCATTTTTTGAATTCTTGTTTCTTCATTCTGTTCTGGCTGAATGTTTCTTCCTTCTGGTCCACACTGTTGATTTGAGTCCCGGTTTCCTTCCCATCACTATTGCCGCCCTAAGGTATTTCAGTTAGCATAGCCTTCATTTTTTCCTCTAATTTGTGAACATATTCAACCAATTCTGTGAACATCCTGATTACCAGTGTTTTGAACTGTGCATCTGATAGGTTGGCTATCTATTTGTTGCTTAGTTGTATTTTTTCTGGAGCTTTGATCTGTTCTTTCATTTGGGCCATTTTTTTTGGGGGGGGGTCTCAGTGCACACGTTACATAGTAAGGGGAGGGGCCTTAGGTGTTTACTAGGGTGGAGCAACCCACCTTGCTGCATTGCAATGCTATCTCTGGGGGAGGGGTCTTAGAGAGAAGAAGACTGCTTGCACTGCTCTCTGCCAGTTTTCAGTCACTCCTCTGACTTCCCACAATCAAACTGGGCTCTTCTGGTGCTGACTACCAGGTGGGTGGGTGGGTTTGTGTACATACAAGGACCCTGTGGGTCTCTCCAATGAACTTCTCCCATTTATCTGCCCGCAAATGAGGGGCCGCCTGGTCCACTAGCTGCCACCTTGCTGGGTCCTCCAGCTGCGGACTTGCCACAAGTCCTCTCTGCCAGGCTGCCCATCTCTGCCCCTCCTACCAGTCTGGATGAATGTTTCCTCTTCAACTCCGTAGTTGTTGGACTTTCATACAGTTCGATTTTCTGTCAGTTCTGGTTGTTCTTTATTTTTAAATTTGTTGTTGTCCTTCTTTTGGTTGTGCCAGGAGGCACATTGGTCTGCATATGCCTCCATCTTGGCCAGAAGTCCTGACTTAAATATCTTTTAATATAGTCTTTGGAAAGGTACAATGTCCTTTTACTTGAGAGAAATTTGTTGTTACATTTGAGTTAAGTTTGGAAAACTCTAAGTTGCCATATACTTAAATTGATCAAACTCATTAGCAAGTTGTATCTCCTGTTTGGAGGAAAAATAAAATTGGTCAAGGAGCTGAGTATATTATGATTTGAGAGTAGACAGTAGTTATGTCTAATGGTGGAAGAGATGCAGCATATTACTGTAATTTCCCTCCTTCAGCCTAGTAGTGAAGGACCCTCACACCAAGGTCTTAGAAATCTTGGTGAAGCCATTGGTGACTCCATGTTCAAAACCTATTCAGATATACTTGAGACCACAGGGAAGGAAGACACTGGGAAATGGAAAAACCTACTTAAGAGGCTGAGATGGAGCGACACAGTGTTCACAAAGACTCTTTCAAGATTATCCATGAGATGACAACTACAGGGTCCAGCACAAATAATGCCTCTTTTTTATTACAAAATATTTTATTAAAAAATCATAAGCATATAATTCTGTAATATAACAGTATCACACTCAAGCACACCATATGACATTTCAGGTGAAATGTGCAAATTAAAACTATAAATTATTACACTCATATTATTACCCTATGCACCACATTCAAGCAGGCCTTACTTCTGCCGGACCCTGTATTTTCCTAATGATACTAAGACCCTCTTTGCCTTTTTTATTCTCATTCTTTCATCTGAATACACTGTAGTTTTCTTGAGGCTATGTGACATGGGATGATATCATTACAGCTAATAAAATGCATGATCAGAAATATGTTTTACATTTTTCTTAATGTTAAGTTCTGGTATAGTAAATATAACCAGATTTAACTCACTTAAACAAGAACTTCCAACTGTAAAGAGTGTAAAGGAGAAAACATTTGAGAACAACGAGAGGAGAGAAATAATATAGGCTGTGGCCCTATCTCACCTGTGACTTGAGGCTAGTGGCAACATTTCTCTGTCTCACTTTCCTCATTTGCAAAACAAGGTGAGTTTGTCTCTCTCCCCTTTTTACACCTTTAACACTAAGATTCTATGATCCTCCAAAACTGTCATGTCACTAGTGCTGCAGGAGGATCACAGAATTTTAGAGGCTTAGAGAAGTTAATTAACCTTCCCAGGATCACATAGGCTGAGGAATGGTGGAATCGGGATTCTTACCTGAGTCTGTCTTAACCCAGCATCTAAGCATTTAACTATATGCTACTGTATCCTGCTTACTGAAGTGAGGAGAGCACTTCATGGGTTGCCACAAGCACGGGGAGACCCAGCTTGCAGTTAACATTACTGGATATTTTCTTTGTTGACCTATTTCTTTGGTATCATTTGTGATGACCTTACGCTATATGAAAAAACCTGATTACTTCTACTGTTACTACAGCAGCCGGATCCTTCTGCACATCTGGGAATTGGGCATTATTAAAAATAACAAATTCCCTAGTTTATTATGTCACACTCTAGGACTTTATTTTGTATGAATATATAGAATAACATAGTACTATAAAATACACTAACTTTTAAATAAATTTTGCTTCTTTCCAAAAGAAATTGCCACTTCAATGCTGTTTTCTGTTCATCGGTCATTGCAAGAAACTCATTTACCTGGTTAAAAAAAAAATCAAACAAAGATTTCCAAAATATATATAGATAACTCATCTTGTCAACAAGGTGAAATTTCAATTTGCTCACTAGAAGTAGAATTTTATTTATAGTAATTACAGCTCAGTTCTCTTGATAGAGAAGGTAAGGCCAGAGACCTGCTCTAAGCTGAATCTCTGAAGCTAATCGGGTGGCTTAGCACAGAAAACTCCCCTTGACAAACTGGGAATCACTTTGAACTGAGGTTTAATAGTAAATGTCAGAAGCTGATTTTAACAATAATAAACAAATGCTTATCATCAAGTACACACTCTCATCTCTAAGTATCTGCTGCTCTCCTATAGTGCAGAAGGAGGAGAATACTCATGGCTGACTTTATATAGCTGGATAGGTGAAATATTGCCAAATCCTCCTTCAGGAAGGACTGCCTCATAGCTGATCAACATCTCCAATGTGTTGTTTTACCCATTGTCACTTGACTATATAAATGGTTTTGTTTTTCTTCATTATGGTCCAGGACCTCTGCCATTATTCCTAATAGTTAATATTAGCTATGATTTCAGTATACAATATGTAACTTTTTGTTCATTAAAGAAAGCAATGTATATTTAAATCAAGATTGGTCTTTCAAAGACCTCTTTATTTATAAATTAATTTCTAACAAATGTTCACCAAAATCACCTATATTTTGGAGGAAGAGAATCCAATTGGGAACTATTTCTAAACACGGTTTCCTTTTTGCTATTTACCGTGCAGCCCAAAGTCTCCTCAGCGACACTTCCTGCGAGACTACAGGAACGGAGGGTCCCTGTGTGATCTGTAAGATCAATTAGCATATCAAAGCTGAGAAGAACAGATTTAAACTCTGAAGAATCTTTATTGCAAGTTGTACAAACGCTGGATGCTTCATGTATATTGTAACCACAGCCTGAACTGAAAAGAAACAAAGGACAATGATAAAATGTGAAGGCCCTAAGTGACAAACCTGCTTCCTAGCAGAATTATCACTTACAAGTCTAAATCGAAGTAAGTAATTTCAGAGTGCTCGGCACCGAGCAGTATACAAGACAAACATACAAAATTATGAGTCTTATTTTCAGTATCTACAGTCCATCTGAAACCGGCATAAGCTCACTATCTTGCTTCCCACCTTCCACCCGGCAGGATCCTGCCCAGGCTCATTTCCCTACTGGGGCCTTTCTTTCCTGCACCCCAGCCTTCACCCCTTCCTTTCTCTGAACAGTTGCATAACTCATATTTCAGCACTGACTATATCCTGTCACATGGTATTTCTTGTCATTGCAGGTATGTCCATACTAGCTCCCCAGCTCAGTGTTCTGAAGGCAGGAGGAATTATGTCTTGGCCTAGAAAGCCTAGGTTCCACCAATGCTCACTTGATGGTACTGTACTAGGTCACATGCACACCTACAGAAACCCTTAGGATTGGGCAGGTTCACATCCTAAATGTTGTTAGTACTGCTAGTGACAGATTCACCTCTCTTTAATTGGTAATTACATGCTACTCCATATTTTAAAGCAGGTCTTATTTTAGCTAGTTTGAAAAGAACTAAATCAAATTCCTCAAAAAGAAGGGAGTGATCTGAGGATAGTGATTTCTTATCTAGCTACAAGTCACTTTTAAAGTAAATTTTAGATGCATTTCTTCACATATCAATATTAAAAATATAGGAAAATGAGACAAAAATTATTTAAATTTGTGAAAAATATTTTTTTAAAAACCCCAAAATCTGTCTTACCAACAGCCTCCACATTAGTTTTTTCCAACTTTAATACCAAATCATAAAGTGCTCTAAAAACCCATAGGTCAGCCCTGGCCAGGTGGCTCAGTTAGTTGGTTGGAACATCTTCTTGTACACCAAAAGTCTGCAGGTTCGATTACCAGCCAGGACACATACCTAGGTTGTAAATTCAATCCCTGGTTGGGGCATGTACAGGAGGCAACTTTTAATGTTTCTCTCTCACATGGGTGTTGGGTATTTTTATCTCTCTCCCTTCCTCTCTTTCTAAAAAAATCAATAAGCATATCCTCAGGTGAAGATTAAAAAATCCCATAGGTCCCTATCTGGACTGTGGTGGTAGGTACACAAACCTACATATGTGATAATACTATATAGAACTTAATACACACATATGTACACAATGCACGCAAATGACTGCATGTCAATCTGGGCAAATAAGTGAATTGAATTAATATCAATATGGCTATGATGTGATACTACAGTTTTTTAAAATGTCACCAGTGGAGGAAACTGGACAAAGTGCCCATGGGCTCTCTCTGATTTATTTCTTAAAATTCCACGTTAATCTAGAACTATCCCAATAAAAATTTCAAATACAAAACCCCGTAGGGAAATTTTCACAATAAAATTTTAGATGTTTCTTTTGAGTAAGATTATTAAATCTATTGGGGTCTACTTTTCTATGCAAGTAGATATTTTGAACTATAAGTGGTTGGAAATCATTTATCATGCAGTTGAAAATAATTTCTTTTTTAAAGTATTTTATTTATTTATTTTAACCAGAGGGAAAGGTAGAAAGAGAGGGAGAGAAACATCAATAGGTGGCTGCCATTTCTGCGCCCCCTACTGGGGACCTGACCTGGACCACAGCCCAGGCATGTGCCCTGACTGGGAATAGAGCCAGCGACCCTATGGTTCCCAGGCTGGCATTCAATTCACTGAGCCACGCCAGCCAGGACCTGAAAATAATTTTTTTTAAATGCTGTCACTTGCTATATAGAATGTGGCAAACAAAATAATTTTCTAATACATTATAAAACAACAGTTTCTCATTCCGGTTAAAAGTTTTTGGCAATGCTAGACTCATAGATAGAGAGCAGGCTGACAGCTGTGGGAGATGGGGTGGGGTTGGGGGTGAGGGGCTTGATGGAGGTGAAGGGATTAAGCAAAAAAGAAAAAAACTCATGGACATGGACAACAGCGTGGTGACTGCGTGGGTGGCAGGGGGAGGGAGGGTAGGTGGAGGACAGTGTGTGGGGGATTAGTGGTGATGGACGAAGACTTGACTGGGGAAGAGGAACACACAATACAGTGTACAGATGATGTGTTGTAGAATTGTGCACCTGAAACCTGTATACTTTTGTTAACCAGTGTCACCCCAATAAATTTAATACGAAGGAAAAAAAGTTTCAGGTAGTATCATAGGACTACAGAAACACAGTAAATTAAATTTTGCCTTAAAGGCAACTATAATCTTTGAATCTAAATAGCTTGCCATGGAAACTTCAGTATAGGTTATTTACTTATGTTTCTCTCAAATATATAACCACTTGTGATGTCCAAGAATAGCTTGAACTTTTTTAGAACTTAAAATTTATTAACAATAATTTTTAAAAATTTCTTACAAGAATAAATTTGCTAAAAGTAGTTTGTCTGCTTACCATTTGTTTCTAACTACTCTCGTAGTGTCATCATCAATGTTCAGTGTAGAAATGAAGGCATAAAGAATGCCATAGAAAGGGTCAGCTTTTCTTTCATTCTTCAAAGCTTTTACCTTTAATTGTTCAACCGTATAGACATCAACTATTGTATTTACTAAAAATAAAAAGAAGTTATTATAGCTCTCTCTGTATAGATTCTAAGAAGTCCAAAGAATTATATCCAAATAGAAAAGCTACAAAATTCAAATAAGAACATGCAGAAGTTTCAGTTAAGTAACAAAAAATTATTGTATTTGCTATATTAAAACTGATTATATAAATGGACATAAAAGCAAAAATTAATGAAAATAGGAAAGAATGAGAAATTGGTCATCATTAAACTGGAGAATATGATAATCAGAAGATGCCATTACAAGACTGAAAAGGCAAGCAAGCTACAGAGTAGGAGACACTAGCAATCTATGAAGAGAGAAAGGATTCATATCCAGTATATCTAAAGAATTCTTAAAAATCAATGAGAGTGGGCCTTGGGCTTGTGGTGCATGTTCCCTGAGGTGAGTGATGTAGAAGTTGGTGGTGCCATTGTATTCCCAGACATGGGGGCTGTGATTATCTCCATGATGGCAGCCTAGGTAAACGGGGCTTACCTCCTCACACAACCATATCAAAATTACAACTAAACTAAAGGACAACTATCACTCAGAACCAGCAGAAATCAAGTTGAATGGTAAGCAACCACAGAATTAAAGAAGAAAACACATCTATCCAGACTGGTAAGAAGGGCGGAGATGTGGAGATGAAAAACGGGCCAGTCCCACACACCCATGTGTGGCAGATAAAAAGCAGGAGGCATTTCTTGGGAGCAAGGGGTCCCAGCCCTACATCAGGCCCCCCAGCCCAGGGTTCCAGTGCTGAGAAAGTAAGTCCCTATGGCTTCTGGCTGTAAAACCAGTGGAGATGGAGTCAATGTAAGAAACTTCTGGATTCCCAGGCAGTTCCTCTTAAAGGGTTCACACACAGATTTACTCAGATTTACTCCCTCTGAGCTCCAGCACCAGGGTGGCAGCTTGAAAGTCACCACTGGCATATGGAAGGGAACTGAAGTGTCTGGCTTCAGGGTGAGGGCAGGGGGGCGGCTTTCTCCAAGACAAAACTGCTGACAGAGGCCATTGCTCCTCTTCTGAGCCCTCCCCCCACAGAGCCACAAAGTGCTGAGGACACCATATTTGGAGACTCCATCAACCTGGCTCACACTGTTTGCCCCACCCTGATGATTCCCTGACCCTGCCCCACCCAACTTACAGGCCCACCCGAGCAGTTAACAGTAGCTTTTCCATAAGAAAGACTTATCTTGGCACAAGCTTCTGATCTTCCTAAATCCTCTCAACGCCACCCCCCCCCCACCTTGCTAAGTTGCCCCAGGCCCAGCACTAGCAACAGATGGCCTTGGTTCATAGCCTGGCCTCTCCAGGGCACCTCCAGGCCTAGCACAAGAAGCAGCCAGGTGCCAGTCACTTTATAGCTTATGCCAATGGCCCCAGAAAGAACACAAGTGAGCACCAGAGCCCAGTAGAAGTAAGCCCTGCTCTGTGGAGTGGGCCCCCTGCACAGCCAATCCTCCACAGACAGCAGTGGTCAGTGGCCAAGGCCAGTCATTGCAGCTGACTGGCCTGGGTAAATCCCTCCCATTGACCTGCCAACAGCAATCAAGGCTCAACTACAAGAGGAGGGGGTACTCTGCCCACATTGAAGGCACACCTCAAGTTACCAACTTGGGCGATAGGGAAGATAGTGCCACTGGACCCCATAGGACACCTACTACATTAGGCACAGAGTCGAAACAGCTCTACCTAATACATAGAAACAAACACAGGAAGGCTATCAAAATGAGGAGACAAAGAAACATGGCCCAAATGAAAGAACAGATTAAAACACCAGAGAAAGAACTAAACAAAATGGAGATAAGCAACCTATCAGATACAGAGATCAAAACACTAGTTATAAGGATGCTCCAGGAACTTAGTGAGGACCTCAACAGCATACAAAAGATCCAGTCAGAATTGAAGTATACACTAATTGAAATAAAGAACAATTTACAGGGAATTAATAGCAGAGTGGATGAAGCTGAAAATTAAATCAGTACTTTGGGACATAAAGGAAGGGAAAAACAACCACACAGAAGAGCAAAAAGAAAAAAGAAAAAAATGCAAACAAAAAAAAACAAGGATAGTATAAGGAGCCTCTAGAACAACTTCAAATGTACCAACATTTGCATCATAGGGGTGCCAGAGGGAGAAGAGAAAGAGCAAGAAATTGAAAATCTATTTGAAAAAATAATAAAAGAAAACTTCCCTAATTTGGTGAAGGAAATAGACATGTGAGTCCAGGAAGCACTGAGTCCCAAACAAGATAGATGCAAAGAGGCCCACTCCAAGACACATCATAATTAAAATGCCAGAGGTTAAAGATAAAGAGAGAATCTTAAAACCAGCGAGAGAAAAGTTAGTTACCTACAGTGAAATTCCCATAAGACTGTCAGCTGATTTTTCAAAAGTAACTTTGCAGGCTGGAAGGGATTGGCAGGGGATATTCAAAGTGATGAAAAGCAAGGATCTATGATCTAGATTCCTCTATCCAGCAAACCTATCATTTAGAATCAAAGGGCAGACAAAGAGTTTCCCAGACAAGGAAAAGCTAAAGGAGTTCGTCATCACAAAACCATTATTATATGAAATGTTAAAAAGATTATTTAAGAAAATAATCAAAACTATAGATCAAAATAGATCAAAACTATGAACAATAAAATGGCAATAAATACATATCTATCAACAATTGAATCTAAAAAACAAATTAAGCAAATAAGCAGAACAGAAACATTTCATAGATACAGAGAACATGTTGATGGCAGCCAGATGGGGGGGGTTGGGAGAAGAGCTGCAAAGGTGCAGGTATTAAAAAGCACAAATAGGTAGTTACAGAATAGTCATGGGGATATAGAGTACAGTACAGGAAATGAAGTAGCCAAAGAACTTATATGCATGACCCATGGACATTAACAAAGGTGTGGGAACTGCCTGAGCGTGTGGGGGATGCTGGGTGGAGGGAGTTTCAGGGGGAAAAATTGGGACCATTGTAAAGGCATAATCAATAAAATACAATTTAAAAAAACAAAAAAATCAACAAGAAAAATACAGTCAATTTGATTTTTCAGCTCCCCTCAGATTGGCAAAAGGTTATAGAAATGTTCCAAAAGTTTTAAACTACTTTGAAAAGTCGAAATATAGCAGTTACAGAATAAGACTACAGTATCTTTCACTATATAAAACAAAATGTCACAGGCCCAAATTTTGGCCTTTTAAAAATTCAAATAATATTTAAAGGTCACTTACAATTTATGGATTCTTTCAAGTAACTGTTAATTTCATCATCCAGTAGACCTGTTTCTTTATTTTCTCTTATAAAATTCAATAAGATGTTAGCTTCTGGTGTATCTTAAATTGAAAATATGTAATAATTAAAAATCAAACTGATCACTCTTTAAATAACTGTGAATGATCCAAAATTATTTTTAATGGTAAAAAAGTGAAGACATAAAAGAATACAATCAAACAGAATATTAGGTAGACATTAACAATGTGAAGTAGTATTCTATTAACATGGACATGTACACAGCTATTGTTAGCATAATGAATGAGCACCTACAAAACTATGCAGAACAATTTCCTTTTCATTAAAAAAAGTACACATATATGCAAAATTATCTCAAAGAATATATATTAAAGACATGATTCTGTCATAAGATGGTAGATTATAGGTGATCTTTGTTTTCCTTTTTATGATTTTGTTATTTTCTGAATTTCATGTTATTTCTTTTCTAATCAGAAGAAAATAATTTTTAACTCCCCCCCCCCCCCCCCCCACCCCCCCCAAAAAAAACCCCACCCACCCAACCAACAACCACCCCCAAAAAAAGATTATTTGAAAGGTTTGCTCCTCCACTTGGGATGTGAGTATCCTTAGGAATAGTCAGATGGGGTGCCAGAAGGCAAGAATGTGATTTTGAAAAAGGGCTCTCACATGACTCTGACACCCCAACCCCCTGCTCCAACACCTGACTGTCTTTCAGTCATCCCTCATCCACTCCAACACTCTACCAATCATCCTGATGATGCTTGGAACTTAACCCACTAGGCAGTTAGGTGTTTCTTCTTGCTCCTGTAACACCACGAGTCTTACCACTGTTCATTCTCAGAACTAGACTGAAATTCCTCGTAAGCAGTTTTCCCTTTTTATCTCTGTATTTCCAGTATCCAATGCATAAAGTGACTATTTTTCCACTCATCTGACCATCCATCCATTCGTATCCTGCCTTATTCTGGAGAGGATTTATCTTAGCACTTGGCAAATAAAAGATATTCAATAAATATTTATAAATTAATGACTGAATGAGTGAATGTTTTTAAAATACTGAGAATTACTGCACACCAGATGAAAGCAGATGCTGAAGTGGTGTCATAGAAATCAAACCAGTGAGCTCCCTGGGATGAAAGCTGATAGAAAGTGTGTGGTGCAGGCACTGCCATAAAGATCCTTACTGACAACAGGGCGTCCGGGTCTGGCAGGAGTTCTGCCTTCCTTACCTGAAGAAGGCTCTGAGGGCAGAGAAAAAGGAAGCCTGGATATCCTGGCCAGGAGAAAGGCTTAAACCATTAGAAGTTTTATCTTCTACATGGCAGGTGCAGAAAATTAGAAATAAGACTGAGTTGAGCAAGCACACTGAAATTCATGCACCCTTATAAGTACTCTCCTTTAAACTGTCCCCTTGAGAAACAGGTATTTATTTTAATGTTGGCATTGCTCAAAACACTTTGGCATTTTAATGTTTTCAGAGCCAAATGTGAAACATTCATTAAATGTCTGTTTCATTAACTTAGTCTTGAATTTTGGATACAATTAGTCCTGTCAGGCTTGATAACCTTTTTCAAAAGATAAGTCCAACTGTCTTTTAGATATTTTCCCAGGCCAAATCACCCTTAAAAGATGGAGACTTTCCATCACTGATATTACTAAAGACAATAATAATAATAACTAATTAATTGAATGCTGTATTAATAAATTACTAAATTAATAAATCATGGTATGTATACCTCTCAAAAAAGGGGGAATTAAAGAATAAGACTATGACAGGAACTAATATAAAGGACACATGGACAACTAAGGGGGGTGGAAATGGGAGGGAGATGAGGAGCACTGGGGGGGTGGGCAGGGATGGAAGTAAAAGACAAAAAAACTGTACTTGAACAATTAAATAAATTTTAAAAAATTAGAATTAAAATTAAAAAATGAAAAAGAAAAGAATAAGACTATGATTGTATCACCACCAATTTACTACAAAGCAGCCAGAGCAATCCTTTTAGAAATTAGTCAGATATTGTCACTGCTGTACTCCAAACCCTTACCTGGTCCCTACATTTCCTATAGTGTAAAAAGCCAGCAACATTTTTTTTATCAGCCTGTAAGGCCTTCTATTTATTTATTTATTTATTTATTTATTTATTTATTTATTTTCAGAGAGAGGGAGAGAAACATCAATGCATGGTTGCCTCTCAAGCGCCCCTACTGGGGACCAGTCTGAAACCCAGGGATGTGCCCTGACTGGGAATCAAACCGGCAACCCTTTGGTTCATAGTCTGGCACTCAATCCACTGAGCAACACCAACCAGGGCAGCCTGTAAGGCTTTCTTGATCACCACAATTTCTTCTCTGAACTTGAACTTCTCTGCCCCCACTTTATCAGCTCCAGCCACTCTGGTCAAACTGCTGTTCTGCCTATAGGCAGCCACATTCCAACCTTAGGGCCTTTGCACTGGCTGTTCCCCCTGCCTGGCACTTTTTGCTGTGGTTATACCTCTAACTGCCTCAACACATCTTTGCTCAAATTTCATCCCCCAGACCCAAAGAAGCCTATCTGACTACCCTCTATAAACAATCACCATACCGTGGCATTCTGGACCCTCCTGACTCTGCTTCTCTTTTGCTTCTTAAATATTCCATAATTCACAGGTGTGTTACATTTATTGTTTACTATCTGCCTCTACCTGCTGGAATGTGAGCTCCATGAAAGTGGAGATATTTGTGTCTTGTCACAGGACCTCAGAACAGTGCCCACCACACAGCATGTGTTCAGCAGATTAAAGTTCAGCAAAGAACAAATCACTGATTGTCACATCATCTCCCATGATGCTGCTTTCAGGGAGACAACATTCTGTGGTGGATGTGAAGATCCAGGGTACTTATATAAAAAAGTACCCTGAGTCTTGTTCTTTTACATCACATATCATAGTAATTCTACTTTTAAAAATTCTGATAATGGTTTGGTCAAAAATATAAAATTGCTTTGTAGTTCTCAGTAACCCTTGATGCTTTGCTATTGACCAGTAGAGTGAGCTTATGTTTAAAATGACATGCTACTATATTTATATCTTCTTGAAACTGTGAAGGATAATTCCATTTTGGGGAATTCTGCACTCTTCTTTAGTGTTGGGCTGACCTCTCTCTGCACCACACAGTACTTTGAAGATGATTACACACACCAGTCCCCTGTCTCTCCAGGTCCTGTTCCCCTGCTTTCATGCTCCAATAAGCTACAACTCCTTCCAACAGCCACTCCAGTGGGCCTGCTGAACATTTAACTACAGATATGAACTGACAACACTACACATATGTTCTCGGTGCTCTAGCACTAAGTTATTTAAATGTAGTAAAACTGAATTTATTTAAATAGTGAATAATTTAGGTTATCTAAGCTATAGCATTGACCTTTCAAAATTCATCACAAGGGAGGATGTTTTAAAAATGAGTCTGGCCCTGACTGGTGTGGCTCAGTTTGTTGGGCATTGTCCTGCAGGGTGAAGGGTCACTGGTTCGATTCCTGGATAGGGCACATACCTGGGTTGTGGGTTTAGTCCCTGGTCAGCGCATGTACAAGAGGCAACTGATCTATGTTGCTCTCTCACATTAATGTTTCTCTCCTTCTCCCTCCCTTCCCCTTTATCTAAGAATAAACAAAATCTTTAAAATATAAACTAAAATAATATAAAAATGAGTGTTTTTTCATATTTCTTTTTTTTTAAGATTTTATTTATTTATCTTTAGATAGGAAGGGAAGGAGAGAGGAAGAGAAATATCAATATACATTGATATTGCCTCTTGTGTGTCCCCTGCTGGGAACTGGCCTGTAACCCAGGCATGTGCCCTGACTGGGAATCCAACTGCAATCCTTTGGTTCATGGGCCCACACTCAATCCACTGAGCTACACCAGCCAGGGCCCTCATATTTCTTTAGTAAAGATATTAAAGACATAGCTTATGGTACATTTTTAAAAGTTATTCATTTTTATATGTTCATTTATTTTTAGAGAGAGGGGAAGGGAGGGAGAGAGGGAGAGAAACATCGATGTGCAAGAGACACATGAGAATTGAACCAGTGACCTTTCAGTTTGCAGGCCAGCACTCAGTCCACTGAGCCACACCAGCCAGGGCAACAATCATTCATTTTTAATTTAAGTGAAATCCAAGCTTTGCTTTCATTCTCAAATACACAAATATTGGAATATCTAACACAGTCATTTCCAAAAAGATAAAAAAGTTCAGATAACCTTTACCTGGATTAGTTGTAATAATGGTTTTTGAGATCACAGTTGCTGTCATGCAGTTTCGAAATCTGTCAAAACTTATTCTTACATCTGAGGCAAATATTACTGTTTGGGGAAAAAGGCATTTTAAATTACTATATGAGGGAATAAAAAATGACAAATATTGAACGTGACCATTGAAGCACGATACCTGTTTCTCGCGGCATCCAGCTCTGTGCAAGTAAAATGGATTCATTATCCCAACTGCATATTTTTAAAAAAGAAGTGATAAAAGTGAAATACATTAGAAAAAAACTGGTAGTAAACATTATTTGCCAGAAAGGAAACAATGTCTTAAGGGCTGGGGTTAACCATCCCCCATGTGATCAAGTGCACAAGTTAAAAATATTGGTTTTTCCTGAATTTGCAGGGCTACACTACCTCACAGAGCATTTATCATTACGTGAGCAAACATTCCTCCAATACCATTAATCTCTGAGAACTTCTGCCCCTTCTATTCTTTCTTTTCCCATCACTCAGATCACTTGAAGCTACTTGCAACTAAGTCACTACAAGTCTAAAGACTAAAGTCACTCTTTCAGACTATTAAGCAAGGGCCCCCACAATGGATTCACTGCTCAGGGAACTTGATGGATTAAAGGGTCATTTCAAATTAAGTGCCTTCTTTGGTACCCAGGTAACTGGAGTCCAAACAATGCCATGTAGTACCCTACAGTACTTCAGAATGTAGCCCCGCCCCACAGCCGACACACCAGGAGCCCCACAGAGCCCAGCCTGTGACAACACTTGCTTTTCTATCATCTTTGCATGGCCTGGCTCCAAGGTACTATCCAGGAATCATGGAAAGTCTGGTATGTTCATTATCAATGGGATCTAATAAATCACATTTTTAACAAAAGAAAATACACTAATACAGAAGTTACAGTGAGTCCACCTAAGCCAGAGGTGATAAACACAAGGCCCACAGACCAAATCTGGTCCTCCACCTTCTTTTATTCAGCTTGGCTGAGTTCCTTGGCCCTAGTTAAGGAATAGTTACAATTATACAGTCATGAAATTACATTCAGCCCTTTGAAGGCAACCGCAAGGCTGATGTGGCACCTGGTGAAAATGATTTTGAGACCTCTGACCTAAGCAATCCCATGTCAGCTAAAGATCTCATTTTAAGGCAGTCTTTTTATTTATTTATTTATTTATTTTGAGATTTTGTTTATTTATTTTTAGAGGGGAAGGGAGGAAGAGAGGAAGAGAAATATCAATGTGTGGTTGCCTCTCACACACTCTCTACTAGGGACCTGGCCTGCAACCTAGGCATGTGCTCTGACTGGGGAGCAAACTGGGGACCCGTTGGTTCCCAGGCCAGCACTCAATCCATTGAGCCACACCAGCCAGGGCTCATTTGAAGGCAGTCTTATAACATAGTCTGTAACAATTCAAAATACAAGACAGCAAATTTTATTTTTTAAATATCATTTCCCTCCAATCATTACTCCTCTCCTGATAATAAATCCATCACATTTCTGATAAAATGAAAATGTTCTGTCTTGGTGATAATAACAGGGATTTCACAGTTTGGGACAAACATGGGAGGTTACCATATCATTGCAAAAGAAGACTCCATCTCATCATAGAGTTTAACTTCACACCTCTGGCCTTTTCTTCGGTCTGAAGTTGTAAAGTATTTTGGCTCTCCAACCTTAGAAATTGAAGGAAATTGTTACTCCTCACCTACAGTTGTAGATGTATCTAAACATTTATTGATATAAATACTCAGACATTTATTCTTTAAACACCAAATGAGAAATATCAAAATAGCAAGAATCACTAATATATATTTGATGATTCAAAAGCATCTTCTATCTTAAACTAGGTATATTTAGGTGATGTTATTTACAGGTTGATTGAAAAGAAGTACAAAAATACATATTTTAAGACTGTGAGGTCTTTTCAACATATTAGAACAATGTTCCATGACAAGTCCATGGTGGTATCTATGTGGACTCACTGAGGTTGAAAGTACATTTTCAACAATTGTATATCCCCACAGCTTAGTACAGAGCCCAGCACTGACTTCATGGGACTGGATGAATTCAGTCTCGCTGAGCCTCACTGTCCTCATCTTTCTAGTGCAAATATGAATATTAATACCTCTTTTGTAAGAATAAGGTGAGGACCAAATGAGGGATGTATGGGAAAATGCTTTGACATGACCTGATTCAATCCACACTGCGGGGTAAGAGGATCATAGCAATGAAGGTGAACTCACTGGCCCTTCTGTGCCTGCAGGGGTTCTCGCATGGAATAGCAGGCACCTCTGACAGCTACATAGCAACAGCCCAAGCACAGACAATCAGCTGGCTGCCCCCTATGTCACTGTCACCACTGTATCTATTAGCAGGGCTGAGCTCCATGGGAAGTTGCTAAAGAAAGACTCATAGCTACCAGCAGAAGAGTGGCATCTAGAAAGAGAGTTGGAGGAAAGGACAGCCAGAGTAGGAGAGAGGCCTGCCATATCACAGTACATAAGACAATTATACAAAAAGGAGTTTTAAAGTAAAGAGACCTAAGCAGAGGTAAGAAGGGAGAGCAGGTTAACTAAAGACATGAAGAAAGGAAACAAGAGGGATGGAAGCAAAATGGGAGGAGAAAGGCAGTGAAAAAAGAAGTAATATAATCCCATGGAAGAAGGTACTAGACCCATGGGGTGGAGGTGGCAGGGGTGGGGAGGTATGGAAAAAGCTGGTACATGGTTTTGCTTACACTCATACTGAGTGTTAGAAAATTTTGGCTACACTGTAATATGACATCATTTAGGATTGCAGGAAAACTGAGAGATTTTATCCTGCCTTTAAGTAAGAAAAACTAAATTTCCAAGAAAATGATTTCTCCTATTTTTCATGATTGCCATGTAGGGTGTTTGTGCCTCCTCCTCAATTATACTGAGTCCCCACTGTAGGGCTGGCACTGTGCTCGGCTGGAACCAGATTGATGAACAAAGCAGACACACATCTGCCACCTAGGGCCTGTCATCGGGTATAGCTGACACTCTTACTGGTCAGTTATTTAACACAGAAAAGCAATTAGCAATTAGTTACAACATTAACTACAAATACCTAAGTCAATTTCGGGTTTTTTTTGTTTTTTAAGGTGTTTTTTTTTTGCCTTTTGACTACCATCATTTCATACATTGAGGAACTTGTCTTGCCCCTTTAATTTTCTTTGTGTACTTTATTTTGTGAAACTTTAATTTTGAGGTCTATCTCTTAGTCTCTGCCTAATGGCTCTAGTCTGTCCAATGTAGTTCAAAACTTGGGGCAATAAGTAAGAAAGAGAGAGATGCTAATGCAACAAATGGTAAAACACCCCCAGAGCTCCATGGAGTGTTGTCCTTCCCTGTTTTTCACCACATGACACTGTGCAGTACGTGGTCAGGCCCCTTCTACAGTACAGCGGGTATTCTCACCGCCTCCCCCACCTCAGGGCAGCTCTGAGAACAGGCACAGAATTGACTCCTTGATCTATACAACTTACACCCCTTTAAGTAACTTCATGGAAATCTTCAAGTCAATGAATTTACCCTTTCCATTTGCATCTTTGTTTCTTTTTCTTTTTCAATGAATTTACCCTTTCCATTTAATTTACCCTTTCCATTTGCATCTTTGTTTCTTTTTCTTTTTCTAAAGATTTTATTTACTTATTTTTTAGAGAGAGGAGAAGGGAGAGGAGAATGAGAGGGAAAGAAACATCAATGTATGGTTGCCTCCCATTAGCCCCTGGCCTACAACTCAGGCATGGGGAAATGAACCTGCAACCCTTTGGTTCTCAGGCCAGCACTCAATCCACTGAGCCACACCAGCCAGGGATCTATTGCATCTTTGTTTAACCAAAGTATGAAGGGCTCTCATATAGTTAGTGGATCATTTATAAATGTATGTTACTTTTAACATTCAAATACAATTTTATTTTGCTACTCATTTATAGATAAAGTGCTACTTTCCCATTAATGAGAAGTGATACCATTTTCTTAATTCAACTCACTACGGATAAAGATAGACAGGAATATTTACTCCAGCTGGTTACTACTTTTCAAACACACATTAAGTGACAGAACTCCACCACCAAACTGAACTTTGCTTTCTTGGGGTTTTGACTTACCGACCTCACGGCTGCAAGTACATTAATAATTCTCCCATCAAGACTGTGTCCATTTGCAACAATATCACCCAGTGAATAATAATCCTGAGACTCTTTAACAGGTAAGTGTATCAAAGAAAGTAACTTGGTGTCCACTTCATAACTGGAACAAACTTTTACTGTTGAGTGATCTTCACTGAGCAATAGTTTACAGTCACTAAATTGCAAAAAAACACACAAAAAGTTAATATCAAATGACTTTTTAATATAAAAATATTTCCAGATTCACAATTAAATTATTTTTGTTGTAGTTTAGACTATACTAAGAAAATTTTTTACATTTATTCTTAGAAAAATTTAAAAACATAGTAAAATATTTTTGTCTAAAATACATTTTCATTAAGAAAATATTTTGAGAAGAAACGGACTGCTGGCCAAGATGGAGGCATAGGTAGAGACCCTTTGCTTCCTCGCACAGCCAAAAGGAGGATAACAACCAATCTGAAATCAATAAACAATCCAAAGTGCCAGAAAATCAAACTTCATGGAACTCCAACAACAAACGATTACAGAAAAAAATCAACCAGAACAACCAGACCAGTAAGGCGCTGGACCGTGCAGGCAGACTCAGAAAAAAAGTAGTGCAGTGGACCTTGGGAGCAAGGCTGACTGCTGAGTTTGGTGGGCTGTACAGGAGGGGCTGACTTAAGGGGACTCAGAGGTGGCTGTGGGCTATGGTTGGAGCAGTAGAAGAAGCTCCTAGTCTCACACAAGAGTCTGTTGAAAAGTGTACTAGAGACCAGCAGGGTGAGCCACACCATTCCCACTCTGGCTCCTCCCCCACAGGCAGGTCAGCAAAGAGGGCCGCTCTGCTGGGGTGAATACTTAAGGCCCTGCCCCCTTACAACCTATCAGCTGTGCCAAGGCAAAGAAATACGGCCCAAAATGAAAGAAGAGAGTAAACCTCAGAAAGAGAGCTAAGTGAGAACAAGATCGCCAACCTATCTGATTGCAAATTTAGAGCCCTGGTAATCAAAATGCTCACAAAGCTGACTGAACTTGGTCAAAAAATGAAAAGAGAAATGAAGGATACCCAAAGTGAAATAAAGCAAAATGTTCAGGGAACCAACATTGACCAGAAGGAAACCAGGACTCACAGCAATGATTTGGAACAAAAGGAACAAATAAACATCCATCCAGAACAAAATTAAGAAATAAGAATTTGAAAAACTGAAGAGACTCTTACAAACCTCTGGGACAACCTGAAACATTCCAAAATCTGAATTATAGGGATGCCAGAGGAGAAGAGAAAGACCAAGAAATTGAAAACTTATTTGAACAAATAATAAAGGAAAACTGCCCCAATTTGGTGAAGGAAATAGACTTCCAGGAAGTCCAGGAAGCCCAGAGAGTTCCAAATAAGTTAGACCCAAAGAGGAACACACCAAGGCACATTATCATTAAGTTACCCAAGATTAAATATAAAGAGGGACTCCTAAAAGAAGCAAGATGAAAGGAGAGAGTTACCTACCAAAGAGTTTCCATTAGACTATCAGCTGATTTCTCAAAAGAGACCTTGCAGGCAAGAAGGGGCTGGAAAGAAGTATTTGAAGCTATGAAAGGCAAGGACCTACATCCAAGATTACTCTATCCAGCAAAGCTTTCATTTAGAATGGAAGGGCAGATAAAGTGCTTCTCAGATGAGGTCAAGTTAAAGGTGTTCATAATCACCAAGCCCTTATTATATGAAATGTTAAAGGGGCTTATCTAAGAAAAAGAAGATAAAAATATGAAAAGTAAAATGACACCAAACTTACAACTATCAACAAATGAACCTAAAAGAAAAGAAAAATAATAGAAACAAAAACTAAGCAAACAACCGGAAGAGGAACAGAATCAGAGAAATGGGCATCATATGGAGGGATTTCAGTGGGAAGGGATAAGGGAGGAATGGGGGGAAAGGTACAGGGAAGAAGAAGCATGGGTAGTAGGCATAAGGTAGATGGGGAGAGATAAAAAATGGTATGGGAAACAGAGGACTCAAAGAACTTATATGTACAACCCATGGATGTGAACTAAGGTGGGGGAAATGCTGGAGGGTTGGGGGGTCAGGGCAGAACAGGAATAGAGGGGAAAAATGGGAAAACTATAATAATATAATCAATAAAAATATTAAAAAAGTAAAATGTTTTGAGGACCAATTTGTGCCTGAGTGCTAATCATACTAGTTGTCTAACCTTACTCAAAACTGAGCTTCAGTTCCCTTCTCTGTGAAATAAAGGAATAAAAGCACATTTGTTCTAAAGGAATTAGACCACATTTGTTATCTCTATAAAGATACAGCTTGCTCTGGGGATCTCTATAATACTGACCACCCTGAGAACAGACTTGAAATCAAGGACTGTGCTTCACTTCCTCCTGTGGTGCTGAGTATGGAATAGATGCACAATATTAACAACTGAACTTGAATTGAGGCACGCTTCCCCCTCTAGCTAATCAACTCCCAAGTCCACGTCATGAGGTTTCTTTCACGTTCTTTAATGCAGGCCTTTCTCCTGCTCCTCCTCCACTTCTGCTTTAAGTATGTGGATCGCTTCTCACCCAAAATATTACCCTACCTCCTCTAACAGTATCCTCCTAAGGTAGCCAAAGTGATTTTCCTAACCCACCAATACGAGTATATTATTTCCCAATTCACAGACCTTAGAGGCTAGCCATCATCAAAGAATGAAGTTGGTACAATGGGCAAAACTGTCTCTGGAATGTTTCTGCTTCTCTATCAAGCTTTTCCTCCTGCTCCTCCTCTGCCCTGGCTCTACATCAGCCATATAGACAACTAGCTATGAAATTGACATTTTTAGACAAAAAGAAATAGTCAAACATCATCAGTTAATATGGTTCAACCTACTATTTACTGTTCTGGAAAAGGCCAGTAGGTTTCATATTTGTCCCTTTTTCAAGAATGCCTCTCCCTCTACTCATTCATCCAGTCATTCATTCCACAAATATATACTGAGAGCCTATTCTATTGAATAACTAAGTTCTAGGAATGGAGGACACAGTGTTAAAGAAGATAGAAAAAACCTTAGATCTCGTGGAGCTCACATGTCTGAGGAAACAAGACAATTAACTGAATAATCTCAGGAAGTAATTGGGGTTGTGATGATAAGAAACAGCACATGGCAAAGTCCTAGTAATTAACTGTAAGGTCTACTACAGACTCAGTAGATGGGAAAGGTTTAAGGAGGTGACATTCAAGCTGACACTTCAAGGAGGAGAAGGAGCAAATGAGTCAGGCTGAGACTGGGCTCCAACTGAACCTGCCTCTTTGCTCGGCTTCCCCCCATACCCCATGTACCCTTACAGGCTGCACCTGAGAGCTCCCTTCAACAAATCATCTGCACAAAAATTCTCCTCCAGCTCTGCTTCCAGAGAACCTGATCTAAGGTAGTAAGGCATGCAAGTAGAGTTACACCTTGATATGAACACATACATATGTGAATTTCAAGATTCATCTTTTCTTCTCATTGTTCAGTTTTAATGTGACTAGAGTCAAATATTTGTAAATTTAAGAATGAGAATCAGGAGTGACTTCCACCAAGATGGAGGCATAGGTGGACACACTGTGCCTTCTTGCACAACCAAGTTTAAAAACAACAAAGTTTTAGCAACAAAAACACAGCCAAACCACAGAAAATTGAACTATATGGAAGTCTGACAACAACGAACCCTTCAGCCAAACTGGTAAGAGGAGCAGAGCCAGCAGCAGAGCTGGGTCATGCAGGAAAGATCCACCGGACTGACCTGGGCGCACGACCCAGGCACACCAGCAGCCCTGAGCAGATCCCAGGTGTGGAGTAGCAGGCGGACCCACTGAGGGTAGACTGTGGTCACACATTCTCACACAGATAAACTGGTGAAGGAGAGAGCAGTGAGATGGACCGAGCAGGCCCCAGCGGTGGGAAGCGGCAGAGGGGACTGCTATTGTCCCTCTCTGACCCGGCCCCCACATACAGCATCACAAACCAGCGACCTGGGTGGCCCTGCCCTGGTAAACAACTAAGGCTACGCTTCGGATATGTAACAGGCACGAACAGATCAAAACATGGCTCAAGAACAACTCAGAGCCCCACGGCCGATAAATCTAAGCAATGAAGAAACAGCCAAACTTTCAGATGCACAGTTCAAAACACTGGTGATCAGGATGCTCACAGAACATATGAAGGCTAAACTAATTGAAATGAAGGGAAATGCACAGGAAACCAATAGTAATAAAAGGAAACTAGGACTCGAATCAAAGAAGTGGACCACAAGGAAGAAAAAAAAATGACCAAACAGAAAAGGATGAAGAAACAAAAATTCAAAAAAATGAGGAGAGGCTTAGGAACCTCCAGGACATCTTTAAACGTTCCAACATCTGAATTACAGGGGTACCAGAAGGGGAAGAGGGAGAGCAACAAGTGGAAAACTTATTTGAACAAATAATAAAGGAGAACTTCCCCGTTCTGGCAAAGGAAATAGACTTCTAGGAAATCCAGGAAGCTCAGAGAGTCCCAAAGAAGTTGGACCCAAGAAGGAACACACCAAGGCACATCATCATTACATTAGCCAAGATTAAAATAATGGAGAGAATTCTAGAAGCAGCAAGAGATAAGGGGACAGTCACCTACAAAGGAGTTCCCATCAGACTGTCAGTGGATTTCTTAAAAGAGACCTTACAGGCAAGAAGGGGCTGGAAAGAGGCATTCCAAGTCATGAAAACCAAAGACCTACATCCAGGACTGCTCTATCCAGCAAAGCTTTCATTTAGAATGGAAGGGCAGATAAAGTGCTTCTCAGATAAGATCAAATTCAAGGAGTTCATGATCACCAAGCCCTTATTATATGAAATGTTAAAGGAACTTACCTAAGAAAAAGAAGATAAAAAAGATGAACAGTGAAAGGACAGCAAACTCACAGTTATTAACAACCACACCTAAAACAAAAGCAAACTAAGAGCACAGCTAGATCAGGAGTGAACCATAGAAATGAAGATCACATGGAGGGTTATCAACATGCAAGTGGGAGAAAGAGAAGGGGGGAGAAGGTACAGAAAATAAGTAGCATAGATGGTAGGTAGAAAATAGATAGGGGGGAGGGCAAGAATAGTAGAGGAAATATAGAATCTAAAGAACTTGAGACACGTGGTCATAAACTAAAGGGGGGAATGATGGGGGAGGGGTGTGCAGGGTGAAGAGGAATGAAAGGGGAAATAGAACAAATGCAATGGCATAATCAATAAAATATATATTTTTAAAAAAAGAATGAGAATCAGGACTTCGGCCAAGATGGAGGCATAGGTGGAAATACTGTACCTTCTTGCACAACCAAATGTAAGGACAACAAACATTTAGAAACAAGAACACAACCAAAACAGACAGAAAATTGAACTGTACCAAAGTCCGACAACAATGAACCACTCATGGAGACTGGTAAGGGGGCGGAGCCAGCGGCCAGCAGAGAGGGGTCCCGGCAGGAAGAGGCGGTGGTTTGCAGATGTGGGCTCAGGGAGAAAAGGGGCAAACCCAGTGAGGCGCGCGAGGCAGCTAGCTGACCACAGACACACATTCACACACAGATAAACCAGGCAGGTTTAAAAACAGCCAGTGAGAGAGACCACGCAACAAAGGGCTCCAGTGACGGGAAATAAAGCCTAAAGGCAATGATTGGAAAAACTTTTGGGGGTTGAGGTGCTGGGAGAGGCACCCAGCCCCACAGGAGAGTTCGTTGGGGAGACCCACAGGGTCCTAGAATATACACAAGCCCACCCACCTGGGAACCAGCACCAGAAGGGCTCAATTTGCTTGCGGGAAGTGGCAGAGGGGACCGAAATCCAAGAGAGAGTGCATTGCTCCCTCTATGACCCCACTCCCAGTCACAACCCAGCAACTGGGTAGACCCCCCTGGTGAACACCTAAGCCTCCACCCCTCATACGTAACAGGCGTAAACAGACCAAGACATTATGGCTCAAGCAGAACAGGTCAAAGCCCCAGAGCCAATACTTCTAAGTGACAAAGAGATCGCCAACCTATCAGATGCACAGTTCAAAACACTAGTGATCAGGATGCTCACAAAACTGTTTGATTTTAGTTGCAAATTAGGTGAAAAAATGAAGGCTACACTAAGTGAAATGAAGCAAAATGCACAGGGAACCAATAATGATGGAAAGGAAACTGGGACTCAAATCAAGGGAGTGGACCAGAAGGAAGAAAAAAAAATGACCAAACAGAAAAGAATGAAGAAACAAGAATTCAAAAAATGAGGAGAGGCTTAGGAACCTCCAGGACGTCTTTAAACGTTCCAACATCTGAATTATAGGGGTACCAGAAGAGGAAAAGGAAGAGCAACAAGTGGAAAACTTATTTGAACAAATAATAAAGGAGAACTTCCCCAATCTGGCAAAGGAAACAGACTTCCAGGAAGTTCAGGAAGCTCAGAGTCCCAAAGAAGGTAGACCCAAAGAGGAACACACCAAGGCACATCATAATTACATTAACCAAGATTAAAATAATGGAGAGAATTCTAGAAGCAGCAAGAGATAATGGGACAGTCACTTACAAAGGAGTTCCCATCAGACTGTCAGTGGATTTCTCAAAAGAGACCTTACAGGCAAGAAGGGGCTGCAAAGAAGTATTCCAAGTCATGAAATCCAAAGACCTACATCCAAGACTGCTCTATCCAGCAAAGCTTTCATTTAGAATGGAAGGGCAGATAAAGTGCTTCTCAGATAAGGTCAAGTTCAAGGAGTTCATCATCACCAAGCTCTTATTATATGAAATGTTAAAGGGACTTATCTAAGAAAAAGAAGATAAAAAATATGAACAGTGAAAGGACAGCAAATTCACAGTTATTAACAACCACACTGAAAACAAAAGCAAAGTAAGCAGACAGCTAGATCAGGAGCAGAACCATAGAAATAGAGATCACATGGAGGGTTAGCAACAGGGGAGTGGGAGGAGGAGAAGGGGGAAGAAGGTACAGAGAATAACTAGCACAGACGGTAGGTAGATAATAGACAGGGGGTGGGCAAGAGTAGTGTGGGAAATGTAGAAGCTAAAGAATTTGTGACACATGGACATGAACTAGAGTGGGGGAATGTGGGGGGAGGGGTGTGCAGGGTGGAGGGGAGTGAAGGGAGGGAAATGGGACAACTGTAATGGCATAATCAATAAAATATATTTTAAAAAAGAATGAGAATCAAAGTACTAAAAACAAAGCCATTTTTACATATGATCCTATATCAAAATAAATTATCTCATAATAAAAAAACAATGTGAGGAAGAATTAAAGTCCTAGTGTTCAAACTGAAGTATATACCTTTAGTAAGCTCTCTGCTAATTTGACACACAAAAGCATATTAGTAACAATCATTTTAGAACAAAGCTGGTGCTAGATATTTACCTAGGAGTTGCAGGGCTGAATTTTTCTTCTCTTTCTAATTCCTTTCTTTGGATCAGGGGATTTTCAATTATCACTAAAACAGAGGGAAAAGTGTGATGCTATTACCAAAAAAGTAATGGGATAAATAAACGTTATTTCTAATTCTGAGTTGGTGTCATATATCCCTCCCACTCATTTTCTTGTGTCACTATGAGAAACAGAATCCTGGAGTATGACGATCAATTTGACCCTTGATGACATTTTTATTTTTTGCTTTGTGTTTAAATCCCAACATATAACCCACCTTAATATTGTTTTATTGATTAGTTACACTGAATATTTCATTTGAGGATAAGATGCCTATCTATATTTGATTTGATTACAAGATGCCTTTTTGCAAACACTTAATTGATCTTCACCCAATTCACAGTTGCCCTCGGAAAATAACAGTGGTGGGGTAAAAAGAGCAATGCAAAATCTGGGTCCCAACTGGAGTTCCACAACTTAATAAGCTCATGTCAGGGTTTCTACTTCCTTATGGCCTATGTTAGACCTTTTTGCACTCTATTTTGCTAATTATTCACACAATCATTTGAAGCTCACAGAGGTTAAACAACTTTCTTGAGATTTTGTATCTAGAAAGTTGTAGAGCTGGAATTAGAATTGTTTTGATTTAAAATTCTGTAATCTTTTCACTCTACCACACTAAAGTCCTAGTTAGATTTATAATCATGGACTTCATGCTTTTAAAATCCCTTATCCTATTCATCCTCACAACCACCATCAACATATAACATATTTTAACACCAAAATATATCTTTAGCTCTATATAACTAATGTTCTGGCATTTATCCAAGGAATGTTTCTAACTGTACTGGGCCCTGTAAACTCTGCAAAGTTTTCTGCCTTCAAATCCATATGTTCAATTACTTTATTATTCAGTTGGAGAGGTACTAATATAACTATGGAAATTAATAATATAAGGCAAAATATGATTAGGTGCTAAGTAACTGGTATGGGTAATAGCTTGCTTCATACTGCAGTATTGGAGAGGGGAGGTTTAATTACCTGTATTACTCTTTACCTTCTTTTTTCTACCATGATAGAAAGCTGGTATATGTGCTTCCTTGGTCCTAGCATAAGGCTAGATATGTCATCTATTGAGTGACTAAGTTCTATACTTTTTAAAAATAAATTTCCTTACATTCTTATTTATTTATTTTTAGAGAGAGGGGAAAGGAAGGAGAAAGAGAGGGAGAGAAACATCAATGCGCCATTGGGGACCTGGCTTGCAACCTACGCATGTGCCCTAACTGGGAATCAAATCTGTGACCTTTTGGTTCACAGGCTGGCACTCAATCCACTGAGCCACACCAGCCAGGGCTAAGTTCTATACTTTATACCAGACACACTATCTCATTTAACATTCACTAGAATCTATAGGGAACTAATTCATAGGGTATTAATTTGTAGTTGAGGCCAAAGAAGATTAAGAAATTTTCTCAAAGCCACCTTCTGTAATAAATGTTGGAACTAGGATCTATCTGCTCTCAAAATCCTTGTTTTTGTTAAACTACACTGCACTTCAGAGGGATATTGGGGTGGGGAGAGAATGCAAAAGATTTGGTATTTGAGACTAAAAGTAGAGTTTCTTAAAATCCATTAAAATTCAAATATCTGCTTTTATCAAAATATATTTAACACCCCTATTATGTTGATTATAGCAACAATAGAGATTGATATAAACTGAAGTATGAAATAAACCAAAGATATAAAGCTACCTAGTAAAAATATGTGATTATATTGTATGTTTCAGGTAATAATGCTGAATGCTTATATGTTGCTATTAAATTTTGACTTTTTTTATAAGGTTCTTGAGAATTGTGCTTTACAGTAAGTCCCCTTATCCATGGTTTCACTTTCCCAAGTTTCAGTCCAAAAATATTTAATGAAAAGTTACAGAAATAAATTTTTGTAATTGTTCTACTTTGTTATTGTTGATCTCCTACTATGCCTAATTTACAAATTAAATTTTATAGAACAAAACTATATATATATATACACATATATATATAGTGTGTGTGTGTGTGTGTGTGTGTGTGTGTGTAAACTATGATTTGGTAGTATCTGCAGTTTCAGGCATCCATCCATTGTGGGTCTTGGAACTTCTCCCCTGTGTATAAGGGGGACTACTCTATTGCATTCTGACTGCTTCAGTGCAGTTACCACAAAGGTACCAAAGGAATAATACTATAGCAACAACAGTTTAAGAATCAATGCCAACTTACCACACTCGCCAACCCGAAAGCTGTCAGAAAGTGATCTGATATAATCTCCGTTGCCCCATGATGTTGCATTTACAAAATGGGTTGGTGAGTCACGAATGGTAAAACTGAAAGTGTACCTTTCTGATCCAATATCTAAGGAAAAATCAATGCTTTTATTTTTTTAAATGAAGTATTTTATTATTTCTGAACAAATATTATTATAATAAAATATTCAAAAACATGATATAAAATATTATTTCAGATAAAAGGTCTGTAATAATTTATGCTTGCTTTTATGGATTTCAGACCTGACAAAGTAGATAATCACTTCATTATTACTCCCTCTGTCCCCTTTCCCAAGTTACTTGTATATTTGAAAAAAATGGCATATAGTTTACAACCCTCCAGATATTAGCATAAAGCCTCCATTTCTTTCTTACTGTTACTGTCTTCTTTTTAATATATATTTTTATTTTATTGATTATGCCATTATATTTGTTCTATTTCCCCCCTTCATTCCCTTCCACCCTGCACACCCCTCCCCCACCATTCCCCCCCTTTAGTTCATGAACACAAGTACCCAGCTTGGGTGATAGGAAAGGCTGTGCCACTTGACTCTATAGGACACCTACTACATTAGGCCACACTATAAGGACATGGAGTTGACGCAGCTCTACCTAATACATAGAAACAAACACAAGGAGGCTGCCAATAGAGGAGACAAAGAAAGGCCCAAATGAAAGAATAGATTAAAACTCCTGAAAAAGAACTAAACAACCTGGCTGGTATAGCTCAGTGGACTGAGCGCAGGCCTGCGAACCAGAGGGTTTCAGGTTTGATTCCCAGTCAAGGCACATGCCTGGGTTGCAGGCCAGGTCCCCAGTGGGGGCCATGTGAGAGGCAACCACACATTGATGTTTCTCTCCCTCTCTTTCCTTCTCTAAAAATAAATAAAAATTAAAAGAAAAGAATTAAACAATATGATGATAAGCAATCTATCAGATGCAGAGTTCAAAACACTGGTTATAAGATGCTCAAGGAACTTAATGAGGACTTCAACAGCATGAAAAAGATCCAGTCATAAATGAAGGATACACTAATAAAAACAAAGAACAATTTACAGGGAATCAATACCAGAGTGGATGAAGTCAAGAATAAAATCAATGATTGAGAACATAAGGAGGTAAAAAACAAAACAAAAAACCAAGTAATGGGAACAACAAGAAGAAAAAAGAATCCAAAAAAATGAGAATGGTGTAAGCAGCCTCTGGGACAACTTCAAGGGATTCAACATTTGCATCACAGGGGTGCCAGAGGGAGAAGAGGAAGAGCAAGAAATTGAAAATCTATTTGAAAAAATAATGAAAGAAAACTTCCCTAATTTGGTGAAGGAAATAGACATGCAAGTCCAGGAAGCACTGAGTCCCAAACAAGATAGATGCAAAGAGGCCCATTCCAAGACACGTCATAATTAAAATACCAAAGGTTAAAGATAAAGAGAGAATCTTAAAAGCAGCAAGAGAAAAGAAGTTAGTTACCTACAGGGGAATTCCCATAATATTGTCAGCTGATTTCTCAAAAGAAACTTTGTAGACTAGAAAGGATTGGCAAGAAATTTTTAAAGTCAAGATTGCTCTACGCAGCAAAGATATTTAGAATGGAAGGGCAGATAAGGAGCTTCCTAGACAAGAAAAAACTATAGGACTTCATAATCCAAACCATTGTTATATGAAATGTCAAAGGGACTTAAAAAAATCAAAACTATGAACAGTAAAATGGCAATAAATACATATCTATAACAATTGAGTCTAAAAAACAAACTAAGCAAACAAGAACAGAGACAGAATCATGGATACATAGAACATTTTGATGGTTGCTAGATGTGAAGGGGTTATGGGGGAATGGGTGAAGAGATGAGGGAATTAAGAAGTGCAAATAGGTAGTTGCAGAATAGCCCTGGGGATCTAAAATACAGCATAGGAAATGGAGTAGCCAAAGAATCTACGCATGACCCATGGACTTGAACAATGGTGTGGGTACTGCTTGATGGAGTAGGGGGTGCTGGGTGGAGGAAAGCAAAGAGGGGAACATTGGGACAACTGAAATAGTATAATCAATAAAATACAATTTTTTAAAGTAACACAGCTTAACATACGTATATAAATTATATAATTATTATATAATAATTATTGTATAATTATTATTTTTCTAGAAAACTGTAATTATTATTTTTAGAGCAGGGACTGGGATGGGAAGAGTTGGGTGTTAAATGAAGAATTTTACTTTTCAACTCTAGACTTTCTGTACTGCTTGAGTTTTTAATGAAAATAAAATAAAAAAAAAACAAGAAGCACATTTTTTCCAAAAAAGGAATGCTGTACATATAATCATAAAAAGGGGTCAAACACCACAAAATTGGTCCTCTACTCTCACCATCTGATAAGTGAAAATGTTATCTCATTGTTGTAATTTTCACTAATATTTAAATATTGACTTTTTTCTAATTCATGTATTTTTAAATTTTATTCTTGTTTATTCTATTACAGTTGTCCCAGTATTTTCCCCTTTGCTCTCCTCCATCCCACCCCAACCCTGCTCCCACAGTCCATCCCCTTCCACTGCCCATGCCCATAGGTCATTCACACATGTTCTCTGATTACTCCCTTCCCCTTCTTTTCACCATTCCCTGCTTCCCCCTTTCCTCCAGCAGCTGTCAGTCTGTTCCTTGTTTCCATGTGTCTGGTTCTGTTTTGCTCATTAGCTTATTTTGTTGATTAAATTCCTTTTATAAGTGATATAATATGGTATTTGTCTTTCACCACCTGGCTTATTTCACTTAGGGTAATAGTCTCCAGTTCCATCCTTGTTGTCGCAAAAGGTAGGAATTCTTTCCTCTTTCTTTCTGCTGCATAGTATTCACTCCATTGTGTAGCTGAACCACAGTTTTGGGTTTTTTTTAAAAATATTTATTTATTTATTTATCTTTAGAGGAGAAGGAGAAAGGAAGAGAAACATCAATGTATGGTTGCCTCTAATGCGTCCCCTGCTGGGAGCTGGCCTGCAGGGAACTGGCTTGCAACCCAGGCATGTGCCCTGACTGGGAATTGAACCGCAATCCTCTGGTTCGCAGGCCCGTGCTCAATCCACCGAGCTACACCAGCCAGGGCTGAACCACAGTTTTTTAATCCATTCATCTAGTGATGGGCACTTACACTGTTTCCAGCACTTGGCTATTATAAATAGTGCTGTTATGAACATCGGGATGCAGAGGTTCTTTTGAATTGGTGTTTCGGGATTCTTAGGGTATATTCTCAGCAGTGGAACTGTTGCATAATAAGGCAGTTCCATTTTTAATATTTTGAGGAAATTCCACATTGTTTTCCACAATGGCTGTACCAGTCTGCATTCCCACCAAACAATGCACTAGGGTTCCCTTTTCTCCACAACCTCTCCAGCACTTGTTTGTTAATTTATTTTGATAGCCATTCTGACAGGTGTGAGGTGATATCTCATTGTGGCTTTAATTTGCATCTCTCTTATGGATAGCAATTCTGAGCATTTTTTCATATGTCTATGGGCCATCTGTATGTCTTCCTTGGAGAAGTGTCTATTCAGAACCTCTGCCCATTTTTTATTGGATTATTTGTCTTCCTGGTGTTGAGTAGTGTTACTTCTTTATATATTTTGGACACTAAACACTTGTCCTATGTATCTTTGTAATCCCATACAGTCAGTTTCCTTTCTTTTTGATGATTTCTTTATCCATGCAGAAGCTTTTTAATTTGATGTAGTCCTGTTTGGTTTTTTTTCCTTTATTTCCCTTGCTCGAGGAGATGTATTGTAAAAATATTGCTGCATGGGATATTTGAAATTTTACTGTTTTCCTCTAGGATTTTTATGGTATCATGGCCTATATTTAAGCCTTTTGTCCATTTTGAGTTTACTCTGGTGTATGGTGAAAGTTGGTGGTCTAGTTTCACTGTTTTTTGCATGCACCATTATGGTTCTCCTAGCACTATTTATTGAAGAGACTATTTTTACTCTATTATATGTTCATGCCCCCTTTGTCAAATATTAAGTGACCATAGTGAAATGGGTTTATTTCTGGGCTCTCTATTCTATTCCATGATCTATGTGTCTCTTTTGTGCCAGTACTAGCCTGTTTTGATTACAGTGGACTTGTAGTATTGTTTGGTATCAGGTATTGTGATACTTCCAACTTTGTTCTTCTTTCTCAAGATTGCTGTGGCTATTCAGGGTCTTTTTTGGTTATTTATGTATTTTAAGTTACCCCTTTTAGAATTTATAAAACAGGCATACTGACTTTCTCAAATTATTCAAATGGTACTCCTGATCTAATTAATTATAATGAAGTAAAGTGAAGACAAATGAGTGTAAGTGGGAGATGACACCTTTGTTATTTAACAGAATATTACATGAAACAAAATAAAAATAAAGGTACCTGTAACTATACCATGATACACTCACAATTACTCAGATGATTCAAGCAAAATTAATGTTTTCTTCTGCCAAAATTATTAGATGGCTAACTAGAGCTCTGATCCCCTCACGCTGTATAAAAGCACTTACACTGCAACCTTTTATAGACATCTTTGACACTTTTAAAGCTAAAAGTAGTGACTTGCTAGATTTGACATTCTATCTTGTATCTTTTCATGTTAACTACAATAGTTTGAAGGTGAGTTGATTTTGAAAATTCAATTTTAGTCTTGGATTATGTTTCCATAGTCCCCAAACTCCTGCACTGTTTGAGCAACTCAAATAAGAACCACTAAAGCTAAAATTAACCGTATCTTCCACATATGAAAGAAGAATTTTTTTCACTGCATTGTCTGGTTGTTTGAGTAAATATGTAGATACTGTTGCCAGATCTCTCCCTTGACACTACCATGACATATCCCTGCTCGAAAACCTTCCTCCTTAGCACTTTCTCTTATTTGAGTTTTACCTGTGTACCTACATCTCTTAGGCTGAAAGTGACAGTTAACATGGAGTTCTTGTTAACTGAAATGACCTGACTACAGTCATTTCATTCTCACACAACTTCTATTTATCCTGATTTCACAGCTGTACTTAGGACAGACTTCAGATCACTCAGTGACTAAGTGAGGACAATTTCATATCACTTAGTGACTAAGTGAGCTCAGTCGATCTAGCTCTAAGTCCATTCTCTCACACATTATGATATCCGAGGATGATATGAGAGTACATACAGTTGCCCTCTGCTATCTTTATGCAGGGCTTATACAGAAGTACTTAATAAATACACATTAATGAGTTAACAAATTAAACTAGCTGTTTTCGCATTGCACATACAAGTCTTTAAAACTGTTTGAGAAACATCAAATAAAATAATTTAAAATGATTTTAATGTCCTCACACATATAGCCTTAAATTAAGTACTTTACCATACAATAGAGAACATGGCCATTGCTCTTCAGGACTTAAACAGGCATGAGAAATTTAATCACTTAAATACACTTGGTTGTAGTCACAAGCCACAAGTGATGAATGAAGCAAAGACTTAAATAGAACTTAGCTTTTTCTGTCTGGAAAGCCTTTGACATCTGTTTTCCCAATAACTATACCGATTATTTTCTGAAAAAAACAAAAAGGTTATAGAAGACATATTAAACACAGATGTAGATGATAAATTTAATTTCATGAACTTGTCCCTTTATATTTTACTGGCTCTAACAAACATTTTCGACAAGGGACCATTTAAATGTATTTATTCCAGAAAAACATCTAAAATAACTTCATAAATCATCAATTCCACAAAAAATAGTACAAAGTAATAGTAACTGCTATTACAAATATAAAGCATCATTTAATGCTTTGTATATTTCTACTGTTTTTCTTTTTTTTAAAGGTTTTATTTGCCCTGGCTGGCGTAGCTCAGTGGATTGAGCACGGGCCTGGGAACCAAAAGATCGCAGTTCGATTCCCTGTCAGGGCACATGCCTGGGTTGCAGGCCAGTTCCTAGCAGGGGCCAGTTCCCAGCAGGGGATGCACCAGAAGCAACCATACATTGATATTTCTCTCCTCTCCTTCCCTTCCCTTCTAAAGATAAATAAATAAAAATTAAAAAAAAGATTTTATTTATTTATTTTTAGAGAGAGGGGAAGGGAAGGAGAAAGAGAGAGAAATATCGATGTGTGGTTGCCTCTCGAATACCCACTACTGGAGAACTGGCCTGCCCTGACTGAGAATCAAACTGGCGACCCTTTGATTCGCAGCCCACACTCAGTCCACTAAGCTACACCAGCAAGGGATCTACTTTATTATCAGTCACTAGAAAAAGCATGGTAACTGTTCTATTATATCAATCCTCACTGAATTTATTCAAAGCACATGTATAATGCACTTTAATTTGCCACAATTTTCAAAGCTTTCTTTTATATATAGTTTTCTAACAATCCACATAAAATTTCTTAGCTTCTTAATCCAAGCATGCTGGACAGTAATGTAAATTAAATTGCAAAGAACTTGTATATTACTGCTAATAAATGTAAGCTCTAAAGTCCTAGATCTTAAACTTTAAAGATATTAACATCTCAAATTTTTAATGTTGTCTTTATAGTGACCACCAAATAAAAATTAAATGTTAAAAAGTGCTTTGAGAAGTAAAAATAATTACCTTTTTTTCTGAAAGGCTAAACCTAAATTTATTAATCTAGCAACTGCTTTAACCTTATAATAATCTATTACATTTAAAATACATTCAAGTTTTTTAAATTGCTATATCCTAGCTGAGCTATTAGTTAGTGTTATTACATTTAGACCAGAGGTGTCAAACACATTTTCACCGGAGGCCACATCAGCCTTGCAGTTGCCTTCAAAGGGCCAAAATAATTTTAGGACTGTATAAATATAACTACTCCTTAATTGTTAAGGACTTGAAATTACATCCGGACCTCTGAAGACAACTGTGAGGCTGATGTGGCCCCCAGTGAAAATGAGTTTGACATCCCTGATTGAGATACACTGTTATTATTTCTTAAATTCCATATGCTCACCAATCTCACTGAATTTTGTTGGGAAAACACAACTAATAAAAATATTGAGTAAAAGTTTCTTACTGAAGAGGCAATCAACAAATAGTTTACTGTTCAAGAAAAACTATAACAGCAATAATTATTTTTCACAGTAATAAATCTTTAATCACAAACTATTGTAGTTACATGTAAATTTATCCTATTTTAAGAAATCTGATTTGCAAATGCCAAATGTAAACAGCAGATCATGCAGAAGCGGGAAAAGTAAGTGACTATAACTTCTATACAGTAAGTTCTTCACCTTATAAGATGAGTCTATCTAGATTTCTTTTAAATAAATAAAAGTCTTGTTATACTTGAAATTATTGAATTCCCCCACAACCCTTCCCCTTAAAATAAAATTTCATGTAATCACTTCAGAAATACACCTGTTGTGTACCTTTGTGTCATAAAAGCAGCATAATTACAAGTATTTAAGTCTGTAACTTGAACAATTTGATTAGAGAATACTGCTGAACAAAAACATTTTAACTTTACAAAGATAAATTTGAATGGTTATTAAATATTTAATTTAAATAATACAAATAAACTTTGGACCAGTTTGAAAAATCACTAGTCATATCTACAATCTCCTCCTCTGTAGAGAAAAGAAAAATGAGTTTTCATTTAGCTGGCATAAATACAAAAATATTCAGGGATCCTTAATATAAAATAATTATACAAATGCCATGAGTACCTACATACTTGTCAATTATAAAAGCATGTGTCAAAAGAATCAATGTTGATATAACATATTACCACATAAAATTTCATTACAGAACAATGAAACCATTACATCATCGAAGCCTACCAGATTTGCCATATTTGGATGCAGATCTGAAAGTGCAGTGAAGTTCTTCAACGCAAAGAAGTTTGCCATTCTTTTAACTGCATTTCAGAAAATACAATTTAGATGCATAAATTAAACAAATGAAATCAACCATAAAAATTCCAAGATTTTAAAAAAAACTTATTTAGAAAAGCACTGGATAGTTTACTGATTCTTTAGGAAAAGATTTTAGTACAACTGTGAAATATAAGTTAATACAGGTTACACCTGCAAAAAACATGTTTCAAACACCCTTTTATAGTCTTGAATGATATAGGTTAGTTTCAATTTTAAATTCACTTTCCAAAATGCATATAATTTATAATTTTTGAGCACCCTGAAAATGGAGAGTTTCAGATGAGAGATGATTCAATGGGATATTTGTGAATTTAAATATTGGGTGGAAAAGCCTTCTTTTAACAATATTGCAAAATTCTATTGTAAATACCTCAAATCATGCATTTGGTTACACTGTGTGTGGGGATAGGTAGTGACTCTAACCTCACCTCTAGATGGTAAGCTCCATAAGGTCAGAGGTAGCATCTAACATACTTTTTTAAAGATTTTATTTACTTATTTTCAGAGAAAGGGGAAGGAAGGAGCAAAGAGAGGGAGAGAGAGAGGCATTGATGTGTGAGAGAAACATCAGTTGGTTGCCTCTCGCATGCCCCCAACTGACCTGGCCTGAAACTCAGGCATGTGCCCTGGCAGAGTATCGAGCCAGTGACCTTTCGGTTCAGCACTCAATCCACTGAGCCACACTCAATCCACCGAGCACTGAGGCCAACACTCAATACACTGAGCCACACCAATCAGGGCCTGACATATTTTTTAGGTGTGTATTTCAATGCGACCTTGTGCATAAAAAACACCCAATAAATATCAAAAGAATGAAATGGTGGCTTGTCCCTTGTTATTATCACTATAAAAGGTTTTATAGTAGTAACAATTGTCAACTATACCGAACTAGCAGATTTATTCAACTTTACTTCATGATACAACACATGGGCTCTTTAACTCTGAATGTTCTCACTTACAGGCTTCACTAACTTTCAAGACATGCCCAACACATGAGTTTCAGGGAGCCTGTGAAGTTAGTCAAATATGATTTTGAATTCCCGTGCCACTAGTTTGTAGTCAAGTGTTTTGATATTACTCAACTTTAATATCCTCATCCCTAAAATATGGATTATATCTATCCTACATGTTTAGTGTGAGAATCTGAAATAACGTACATGAAGTGCCTAGAAGTTCCCAGACTCTCAACAGATAAGAACTGCTTTTCATTCTTACCCAGTGCAACAATTTCTGTATTAAAGGCCTTTGGTGCCAGCAAAAACAACTGAAAACTAAGCAATGTTAAGTTTCCCACTTATTCTTAGGCCTAGTTGAATATGGCTCATTATGCAGTTTCAGTCTCTGAAATATTTGCCAAACCTTGACAGATTCATTCATTCATCCATCTACTCAACAAGCACTTACTGAGAATGTGTGAAGTTCCAGACACTTGAAGTTGGAGAAGATGAACTAATCAGTAGCTGGATTCTGTTTAAAAATACTACCCACCTACATACTAAATTGAGTTCTCCAAATCTTTACTCCTCAAAATTTCTTAGTGGATTGGTCACTGACTTATGTGATATTTCATGAACTCTTTGAAGTTCCTCCAATTTCTACTTTTATTCAAAATATATAATGATACACTCTAGTGTCTGTCTATAAAAAAAAGACAACTTGATTCTCTACCTGGACATTTTGAGAAATACAAAGCTAATATGAAGTAAAGAACTCACTATGGTAATCCAGAAATTATACCATTCATCAGCAACTATGGTCCCTTCTATTGGGTTAGCAAGTCTGTTTACTTTTTTCCATAAAAAAACACATTTTTCATTTTCACCAATTACTTCATTGATTTAGATAGTTTGAGTATGTTAGCTATCTCCTGATATTGGCATCTAATGGGTAAAGGCCAGGAGTGTTGCTAACATCTTTCAATGCATAAGACAGCCCCACAGCAAAGAATTATTTGGCCAAAATGTCAATAGTACCAAGAAACTTCGCAAACCACTTTTGACCTGTTTGATCAGCCACAGCACCTTCTCCATACACTACACAAATCTTGTTTTCCATTTCAGTTGCATTTTTAACTTTTTTGAAATAACAAAACACAATAAGCTGAAAATGTTGCTTATTTTCTTCCATCTTCAATATTAAAATGGCTACACAAATATTCACCAATTTTGGTAAGTTTTTAAAAAATGCACATTGATATGACAGCTGTCACAATACAAGCTAACAAAATTATTTCAAATGAAGTTAAAGACAACCAAGCACTATTAGAATGATCAGATGGAAAAAACTAAACCAACTTTTTGGCCAACCCAATACTTTAAAAATATATGTTAAATGTCTCCTTTTATCTATCTCCTATGCCATCTCCTCAGCCCAAAACTCAGTAATTCCTCACCTAGAGTACTGCAATCACCTACTTTATACCTATTTTATTCAGTCAACATGCGTGGGTTGAGTGTCTGATATGTATGAGGCCTTGAATCAGAACAGAATAGGGCTGGGGTTGGTCTGTGGTTGATTTTCCACCCAGGAGCCTCAGAGAGGAGCAATGAAAGCAATGAAATCTTAGGGCTAGATGTCAGACCAGATGAGTACAGCCTCAAACCACTGATCCAGATCTTTGACAAGGTTGGAAGAAAAGAGGAGTGTTGTTAGAACTAGTCCAGTTAAGGTAACGTGATATACCATGGTGGTGGCAATGGCACAGGTAATACTTTCTGAAGTGCCTACTATGAGGCTGGGCCTACATTACAGACACTATATATACTGTAATGATCTCTGACAGTCCCCGACCCCCGGCCTCCCAAATTCTCCTCCCTGAGGAGAATTCTCTTCCCTAAACCCTCCTTCTACTTTTTAAAAAGTATATTTTATAGATTTTGCAGTTGTACCAATTTTCCCCTTTGCCTCACTCAATCTGGTACCCCTCTTCCCTCCAGCAGTCCCCTCCTTAATTCATATTCATGGGTTGTGCTTATAAATTCTTTAGTTTCTCCATTTCCTATATTATTGTCAACACCCCCCTGTCTGTTTTGTACCTACCAACTATATTTCTTAATCCCTGTACCTTTTCCCCCATTCTCCCCCTTCCCCTTCCCCACTGATAACCTTCCATGTGATCTCCAGTCTATGATTCTGTTCCTGTTGCAGTTGCTTGCTTAGTTTGTTTTTGTTTTATTTTAGATTCAGTTGGTGACAGTTGTGAGTTTGTTGTCATTTTCTGTTCATAGTACTAATCTTCTTTTTCTTAAATAAATCCCTTTAATATTTCATTTAATAAGGGCTGGCTGATGATGAACTCCTTTAGCTTTACCTTATCTGGGAAGCACTTTATCTGTCCTTCTATTCTAAATGATAGCTTTGCTGGATAAAGCAATCTTAGTTGTAGGTCCTTGGTTTTCATCACTTTGAAGACTTCTTGCCCATAAGGTTTCTTTTGACAAGTCAGCAGATAGTCTCATGGGAACCCTTTGTAGGTAACTCTCTGCTTTTCTCTTGAGGCTTTTAAGATTCTCTCTTTATCTTTAACCTTTGGCATTTTAATTACAATGTGTTTTGAACCCCTCTTTGGGCCCAACTTGTTTGGGACTCTATGCTTCCTGGACCTGCATGTCTATTTACTTCACCAAGTTAGGGAAGTTTTCCTTCACTATTTTTTCAAATAAGTTTTCAATTTCTTGCTCTCCCTCTTCTCCTTCTGGCACCTCTATGATTTGGATGTTGGCACATTTGGAGATGTCCCAGAGTCTTCTCATATCCTTGTTTTTTGTTGTTTTTTTAAAATTCTTGTTTCTTCTTTCTGAACTGGTTAACTGTTTATTTCTTCCTTATGTTACAAATCATTGATTTAAACCCTGGTTTTCTTTCCTTCACTGTTGGTTCTCTGTGGATTTTTCTTTATTTCACTTAGTGTAGCCTTCATTTCTCCCCTTTTGCATTTGCCATACTCAGAGTTCTCTGAGCAACCTTATCACTAGTGTTTTGAACTCTGTATCTGATAGGTTAACTATCTCCGTTTCACTTAGTTCTTTTTCTGGAATTTTAATCTGTTCTTTCATTTGAGCCATTTTTCTCTGTCTCCTCAATGTGGCAGCCTCCTTGTGTTTGTTTCTGTATATTACGTAGAGCTGCTTTGGCTCCCTGTTTTGGTGCACCTGTTATGTTGTAAGGGGTGGTGCCTTAGGTACTCAACAGGGTGGAGCCACCTGTTTCCCTTCTTCATGGTGCTGTACGAGGGGGGAGGGTCGGAAAGGGAACAATGCTGCATGCTCAGCTCTCACCCCGTTTCCAGTTACTTTCCCCACTTTCTGTATGCTACTAGTGCCCTTCTAGCTGCTGCCCTGGTGCTGAATCCCACAATGGGTGGATTTCTGTACATTCTAGGACTGTGTAGGTCCTTTAAATGGACTCTCATGGGAGACTGGCAGTTTCTTTTGCCACCCCAACCCCAACTGGTTTTTACAGCCAGAAGTTATGAGGCTTTATTTTCCCAGCTCTGGAACCCTGATCTGTGTGGTGTAGACTGGGGCTGGGAACACTTATTCCCCAGGGGTCCCTTCTGGTTTTTATCTGCCACACATGAATGGGTGGGACCACCCATTCTGCTGAGCACTGCCACTCTGTGTCCTCTTTGTCCAGGCTCCCTATCTCCTCCACTCCTACCCATCTGGATGAATATTTCTTCATTATATCCTTGGTTGTTGGACTTCCATACAGTTTGATTTTCTGGCAGTTCTGGTTGTTTTCTGTCATGAGGTTAGTTGAGCTCCTTCTTATGGTTGTGTGAGGAGATGAAGTGTGTCTACCTACCCCTCCATCTTGGCTGAAAATGAGCCCTCCTTCTACTTTTGAAAGGTGACCTCCTGTCTCAACCAGAGCCCAGCCTGTCCTGGTCCATTCCTCCCATGACCTTCCAGGTCCCTTATTTTAGGTTTTATGAGGGTATGGCAGGGTCAGACCTTTTGTTCTCTTCCTTGCTGGAGCTTTCCTCCACTGGAGAAAGCTGTATTGCTTAGTTTTTACTCCTGCTGGTATTCTGCCACAGGATAAGGGGACTCTGAACCCACAGAAGGAAGGAACACTTTCAACTACTGATTCTGAGAAGTCTCTGGCCCACATGTCAGCCAAGGCTGTCAGTCAGACCCTTAGAACAAAGCCCACCAACTTTTCTGTTTTGAGATCATGGACTCAAATTCTGAGCAGACCAGAGGTAGTCAATGCAACAATTATTCATGGAGGCCTATGTGTCAAGTACTGTGCTGGTGCCCCAGACTCTCCCATCAGAAAATTCCATTACCATCTACCCTGTCACCATTCACAATCCCTTTCCTTGACTGCCCAGATCCAAAACAATCCTCACCAAGTCCTGCTAAGCTTCCCTTCTAATTATCTCTAGACTCTGACCATCTCCCCCCATCTCCCTTGTCCTTACTACTCTCTGCTTCTACTTTTGCTTCCTCCATCTCTTCTCCACAACAGAGAATTCTTTAAAACCTTACATTGTCTTTCCTTTGCTTAAAACTGCTCCCAAATGCACACCGAATTAAGTCCAAACTCCTTGGTACTCCTTGTAATGCCCAGCTGATCTGCCCTCTGCCCATCTCTTCCTCATTTACTATCACCTTCCGGTGGATAAGCACTCTCCAGTCTGCTCTCCTTTCCTCAAATATGACCAGGAGGCTTGGCATACACAGTTCTCTCTCCCTTGAGCACCTCACTCAACCTCACCCATAGATCTTCCCAAGGCAGGCTCCTTGGCATCCTTTGGGTCTCAAAGGGAAGCCTTTCTTACTACCCTACCTCAAGTATTCCCCAGGCTCTATTTTCCCTCTCAGCATTTCTAATTCATAATTGTTGCTTGTGTACTGCCTATCTTTTTCCCTCATTGGAAGGTCGGTTCCATGATGACAGAACTGAGTCTTATCTCACTCCTAATTATGTCCTGCAGTGCCTAGTTTAGTGCCTTGTACATAGTAGCTACCAGTTATTGTCAATGAAATTAATGAATGAGTCCTAAAAGCAATCTAATTTGCAATTTGAGAATATTGCTATAATTAGCTTTTTAGGTAGAATTATAGTTAACAGGTAATTTTACATTTATATCAAGTATTTAAATTATGGAAACAAGTATGGTTTACAATCTTGCTATTCTAGCCAAGTGGAGCTTCTAAAGAGCTCAGTGATGGTGTTCCTATAACTTCCTATTTTATCCTGTGGACTGGTGGGGAGTTAGGCTACTGCACAGAAGTCCTCTTTATAGGGTCATTTCTGCACATGGAAATCTCCCCAACCTCTCATCATAAAACACACATTTTGTGACAAACTGGTAAAGTTGAAAATTCTTTCTCATAGAGGGGAACAACTTTATTCAACTATCTCTATAAATCCAATTCAAAAAGGTTACTTTTACTCCTGCTGCTTCAATGGGAACTCAGCAAGTTTTGCATTATAAAATCCTAGCTGACTTCCAAACACTGGGGTGTCCATTAGAAAACTGGCCAGCTACCCATCGCACTGGAGAACTCTGCCACAGGGAGGCTTTTTAGTATAACCTTTCAAGGTAGTTTCCAATTTTATAACTAAATGATGCTTGAAGAGAAAGAAAAAGAAAACTAACTGCATGACTTGAGACTGCAGCCTAAAACTACAGTCCCTTAAAACCCCCTGCAGGGACATGCGGCACTCTGTCTGTTCAGTGTTTGAAACTGTATTTTGATCTTTCCAACCCCTGGAAAAGGCAAAACTGGAGCTGCCACAGACGCCGGGTTATCAGGGGTGGAGGGACTGACGGACGGATGGGTGGCGGGAGCGGGAATTTCTGGGGCAGTGAAACTGCTCTGCTCTGCTCACCAAAGACACGCGTCCTCATTCATTTGTCAGACCCACAGAACGCCCAGCCCCGAGAGTGGGCCCCAACTAAGCGACAGCAGTATTTGGAATCCGCGCCTATTCCGCACTGACGACACAGTCGCTTCCATAGAACCGCGGCGTTCCACCGGACACCGTGGAACGTCCGCAGCGAGACGCCGTCTGTCGGCTTCACAGACGCAGCGCCCCACGTACCCCGTCCGCCCCAGTGCGGGGCCGCCGGCCGGCCGAGGGTCGGCCGGACCGCTCGACTCGCCTCCGACACCGCCCACCCCTAGCCCGAAACAGCCCCTGCGAGGCCGCCACGCCCTCAGGAGCTGACGAGAGCCCCCGCCCCGCACCCCCTGCCCCGACCCTGCACCGCCGGCCGCCTCCTCAGGCCGTCACCTCAGAAGTCGGGGCCGGCTCCCGGTGCCGGCTCCCGGCTTCTCCCCTGCCGGCTGCTCACTAGCCACGCCCGCGGCCTCGCCTGCCAGGCCCAAGGACCCGGTGGGCAGCTCCTTCACAGAAGGTTACACCGGCAGCCCCGCCACTGGACGACCGAGGACCACCCGGCAGGGCGCCCTAACGGACTTTAGCGCTGGCCCCGCCCCTCGCACAGGTCTCCGACTCCGCCCACATCCAGGCTCTGCAGGCCACGCCCCATGGGCTGGTCCCGCGGCTGTCCCCTGAGCTCTGGCTCCGCCCTATCCCCCTCCCCCTCCGCACCCCTCCGCGCCCCTCCGCACCCTCCCGCACCCCTCCGCACCCCTCCGCACCCCACCGCACCCCGGACCCCATTTCCTCCTACGGTACCAAGGGCCACTAGTCCCAGTGGTGAAAGGAGAGAATGGAAGAGTAGGCGTGCGTGGTTCCCAATTCTTTCCTTCTCGAGTGTGTCCTCCAGACTAGAAAGCTGTACAGGGCACTGAGAACCAGTGGCCCAGGAAGATGTTATGGTCCTTTTTGCTGAAACACATCAAGAGGTGTTATACTACAGAAAGTACAGCAGCTGAATACACACGAATGTGTGCAGGTGAAACCCGGGAAATCTAGACAACATGGTGGGCTGTGTCATCCCAGTCACCTCAGTCACCTAGTTGTGATTTTGCGAAATGTTCCGTTGGGAAAAAGTGGGTCAAATGTATCAGGGATCTCTCTGAATTATTTTTTATACTGCATGTGACTGTAATTATTTCAAAAGAAGAAAGTGCACAAGATAAGGACTGCTGATTTGGTTTTCGAAAGGGGCAGGTGCTATATGTAAACCCTGGTGACTTGCTGGCAGAGTGTCAGGGAAGGCCAAGCCACTAGATCAATATTTAGACATTTTCCTGATGATACCCTTTATATCATTTCAGATATAAATATAGACCGCACATCTAATTAGATGTGCTAACTATTGGACTTAGGTGAGCCTGAAATTTGCCAGCTCTTCATTTTTCAAAAATTACAGTGGATATACAATATTATATTACTTTTAGATGTACAACATAGTGATTAGACATTTATATACCTTAAAAAGCGATCACCCTGACAAGTCTAGTACTCATCTAACACCATACATAGTTATTACAATATCCTTGCCTATATTCCCCATGCTATACTTTACACTCCTGTGACTGTTTTTATAACTGGCAATTTGTACATCTTAATACCTCCCCATTTGTAACTCATCCTCTCAACCCCCCCTCCCACCTGGCAACCATCAACATATTCTCTATATCTGAATTTGTTTGTTTTCTTTATTTTGTTTTTAGATTTCACATATAAGTGAAATCATATGGTATTTGTCTTTCTCTGTATGACTTATTTTAGCATAATGCCCTCTAGGTCCACCTATGTTGTCACAATTATCAAGAGCTCTTCATTTTTTAAAAAATCCTCACCTTGTTGAGGATGAAATACCCTAGTTGAGGATATTTTATTGACTTTAGAGAGAGCAGAAGGGAGAGAGAGAAACATCAACTGGTTGCCTCCTACACATGCCCCAACCTGGGATTGAACCTTCCACAGAGATATGTGCCCTGACCCGAAATCAAACTCCCAACCTTTTGGTGTATGGGTTGAAGCTCCAATCGACTGAGCCACCTGGCCAGGGTAGCTCTTCCTGTTTTTAATCATTACAATTTGGACACCTTTTTAATCTAATAACTTATAAATTAATTCCTGTTAATAGAGTATTACTCAGGGGCAAATAAGATCCAATAACAAAATGAATTAAATTTGTTGCCAGCTCTCCATCTGTAGATTATTTAAATTATTGAGCTTCTCATACAACTCAATAACAAAACCCCAAACAATCCAATCAAATAGAAATGGATCTGGGGCTATGAAAAGACATTTCTTCAAAGAAGACATACGGTGGCCAACAGACATGAAAAAATGCTCAACATCACTATTCATCAGGGAAATGCAAATCAAAACCACAATGAGATACCACCTCATTCCTGTCAAAATAGCTATTATGAAAAAGTCAACAAATAGAGTGTTGGCAAGGATGTAGAGGGAAAAAAAACTCTTGTGCACTGTTGGCGGGACTGCAAATCAGCACAGCCACTATGGAAAACAGTGCGGGGATTCCTCAAGAAACTAACAATAGAGCTGCCAAATGACCCACCACTTCTGGATATTTCTCTGAAGAAGACAAAGACGCTAATCTAAATGGATAAAGAAGATGTGGTATATATACAATAGAATATTATTCAGCAATAAAAAAGAGTGAAATTTTGCCATTTGTGAAAACATGGATGGACCTAGGGCGTATTACGCTAAGTGAAATAAATCAGACAAAGAAAGGTAAATACCCTATGATTTAATTTCCATGTGAAATCTAAAAAAAAAAAACAAAACAGCAAGTGAACAAACAAAACAAAACAAAAGCAGACTTTTGATGTCATAGAAATAGACATCAAACTGGTGGTTTCCAGATGGGAGGGGGTGGAGGGGATGGGGGAAATGGGGGAAGGAATATAGTCAATAATATTGTGACAAGTTTGCATGGTGACAGATGAGTACCAGATTTATTGTGTTAATCACATTAGAGAGTATATAAATGATGAATAACTATATTGTACTCCTAGAATTAATGTAATACTGTATACCAACTATACTTAAATGTTTTAAATAAGTAAAAATAATTATTGAGCTTTTCCCTTAAAAATAAAAGACAACATTGGTACTTATTTTACAGCCCTATATTACAGAAGAAAAATACATCAGAGGCAAGTTTTATGTTATTATCAAAACATGGTTTTTATTTTTTCTCATTTGTTATTTTTTTTCATTTCCCAAATAATAATGGAAAGCAAAATAATGTATCTGCATTTCTACCATTTCAAATTTAATAGGGAAAGCTTTAAAATTATTTCCATATTCCTTTCAAGTCCTTCTGTTTAAAAACAACCAGCAGTTTAAATCAATCTTTAAAGAAAAAAAGAAGGTATAAAAATAGTCCACATGCATTTTTCATTGAGCTTCAGTGGGGGGATATAATCTTAAATTTTGTTTGTGTTTTTTTATATTTTAGTAATTTTTGCTGAAAGCTGTCTTAAGATTGAACAAGCACAGTCAGCCTTGCCAGGACATAACAGGTTTTTCAAAAGACATGTTGCTTTGAAACACTACCCTAAAAGAGTGGAATTGTTGATATGAGCATTGAGATTGGGACCCCCTTACTGTGTAAAGGGTTCTTTTGTTTCATTATTATAATAATTCTGTGAACTTGTTTTGTCCTTACCAGTAGAATTGACTTGTCAATACATGTTGGATGAATGTGAACAGAAGCAAGGACAAGGAATGCCCAGCCTTGACACTTGATGTAGAAGTCAAGGGTGAATAAACAAAGGTCAGAGCTGAAATAGCTTGTGTGTCTGGCTAAAGAAATACTATGAGGCTATACCTGTCACCTCCCTGGAGCATGCCAGCTGTCAAACCATCTGGGAAGTATGTCACAAAGGGATGACAGGGAAAATATATAGTAAGCAACTTCACACATACTAATCAGTAGAAAAAATTAACAATTCTATTAATGAATTATAAGACCACTTTTTATTTAAGAATAAAATAACTTTTCTAAAGTTGCTCCTGTTATTACAATATTCCTACCAGGAGCTGAAATACCTTCCCATTCCTTCATTATTGAGGAACCAGCCCACATTTAAATATACCGTAGGCACTGGCCAGGTAGCTCATTTGGTTGGAGCATTGTTCTAACACGTCAAGGTTGTGGGTTCGATCTCTGGTCAGGGCACATACAAGAAGCAACCAATGAATACACGAATAAGTGAAAAAACAAATCAATGTTTCTCACTCTCTCCCCCTGCCTTTTCTTCTCTCTCTAAAATAAAAAAGTTAAAAAAAAATTAAATAAGTAAATAAAATGTAGGCATGCTAACTTTTACAGATGCCTATGTGAAAGTTTGCAAAATTATGTCTGGAGAAAAGGAGTGAGGTAACCTGTAAGTGGGGTTGAAAGAACTAGATGTGGAGATTGGGTTTATGTGCTAATCAAAGCCATCTAAAAGCTATTTGAGCCAATGCCATTTAAGAGTTATTGGAGAGGAAACAGACAGAGCAAAAGGACAGTTGCGGGAGTTGGATTCAGGAAAGTTCCTGAAGCACTGGAAAAGAGAGAGTTCATGAAAAACAAAACAGTGGGAACTCTGGAGCAGCCTAAGGATAGAGTGTCCAGGAATGTTCTGGAAAATCCTGGAGGAGAATCCATGCAAACTGCTAAGTCAGGATTTGGGGAGCTGTAGGATGAACAGATTCTTTCTCAACTATGAATGGCTTAAGCAAAAAAAGAACTTGATTTGTTCCACAAGCAAAGCAGCTAAGAGAAGAAACGAAAACATTGCCATTTGATTGAAAGTAGCAAGAATTGAGGTCTAACTACACAGTGAAACTGGAAAACCTATTAAGAGCCTAATGTACAAGTTGATATATGGTAAAATGAGTAATGAGCAGGGATTGGAATTGTTTAGTACCTGTTGTTTGTGCACAGGGACAGCTATGTATAGCAGTGTGTTCTTTTTATGCTCTACATGCCTGGCATGCACTCTACCAAAGCCAATGTGCCGAAGGAGAGGGCAGGAGGGGAAGGTCATGAGCACACAAAGCATAGGGTTTGGTCTTTGGAGGAGAATCTGGCTGCCCCCCAGCTGGGTCCACTGGAGAGTTACTCATGCAACAATAGGAAGAGCCCATTTTTTTGCAGGCCTGTCATGGGCCGTGTTTCATCACAGTTTATATTAGACCTATATAATTTTTTTAAAACTTTTGTAAATTTTATTGCAACATATCTTTACCACCTACATTGCAATTAACCATATCACTGACCTCTCAAGTCTCAGCTCCACATGCCAATCATCTGTGGGCATTTCTACCCACTTGAGAGACCAGGTATACTAAAGCTCAGTATATCTAAAACTAAACTCAAAACCCCACCACAAGCCAGCTCCTCTTCCTCTAGTTCCAACATAAACATACATCTGGTAA